TACTATCTATCCTGCCATCCAACCAAACCCCTTATTACTTCTTTATTGACAGCTGTAAAAAACAAACAGTATTAGCTTTATCTCCCACAGCAGTCTCAGCGTCGTACTCTCATCATCTCTACCACAGACAACAGATACATTCCTAGCCGACTTTGCCGTAGGTCTCGGAACCGGCTCAATCAAGGTCGGTGCGCCGGCGCGAGGAGAGAACGTGGAGCGGCTGAACCGCTTATTGGATATCGAGGAGGAGTTGAGAGGCAAGGGCGAGGATGTGGGGTATGCTGGGAAGGATTACCAGAGTACCTACTCGCGGGGCCGGGACAATGAGGGAAAACAACCTTTTAACGTTTATGGGCATTAAGTGAGCGAGCGCTGGTACGGACTGGAATTAAAGCGGTTAAATCAACATTGTATTTGAAAGGTGAGTGGTTGTCGGGATAGTATGCATGTGGATAGTCACATGAGTTAGCGCGGATGACTACGCGTACGCGATGCAGAGGTAAAACCTCCTCCTCGCCTTGTTATCACACTTAGACTTAAAACCTAGAAACCAAACCACCAAACAGAGCGAAAGCAATACAAGATAAGTTACTAGGACAGAAAAATGGACTATGTGATACCAACAGCGGTTCCGAATATATACCACTTTCGGCTCTCGTTTATAACGAATAATGAATGATGGAAAGAGAACCGAGTAGAATACTTTGGTTTGGGAATTCTTTACATAGATCACTTGTATATCTACTCAAGTCCTTTACTCCGGAATTCTCTAAAAGAAAGACAACTAGATCAAATACACAATTGGACTACGACCTTAGGGAAAAGAAATGAGCGAGCGTTTTTGAAAGAAACCCAGAGGAGAAACGAATACACTTGCCGCATCCAAGTAGACTACTATATCTTTGATTGAAAGTTACGAGCAAAGTTGCTACGTGCAAGCACTACCTAAACCTTGATACCCCTTCAATATTCAGCGTGACCGCTCCCAAGATATAGCCTTTCAATTCCGACCCTAGTAGTAACAATAGCTAGCCAGGCCGGTCTTCACTCACCCAGAAGCCCCACTTGCAGTAATCGTAGCTGTGGTCGTGGCATACAAGTTATACATGTTTGGACCTCCACACATTTGACTCGAGTCTCCCTTACATGTCATCGTGCACGCAGTACTCCCAGAAAGACTACTCGGTTGCGGCGAGGGTGCTGCTGTATGAGCAAAGCATTCTCGGCCATACTCGACACCAACAAAGGCATAAGTGGTAGCAGGTGTAGCGGAGAGCCGCGCAAGTGCTGAGGAGATACAGAGCTCGGGACTCATGCTATTGTTACTGAAGAGCTTCGGCATGTTGTGTGCTTGGAAAGGGCCTCCAGCTGGGTCGGAGAAACATCCAAGAGATGTAAACCCTTGAATTGCTGAAGTGGTGGTGCTGGCCGTTGAGATTCCGGGTGTGGACGTGGCGCTAGATGTTGAGATTGATATCGAAGGAGTTGATGATGAGGACAGAGATGATGTAGCTGAACCTGATTTGACGGTTGATCCCGCCATCGAAGTTGACATTGATAATGAACTTGAGCCAGGGCTAGATTGCCCGGGAATAGAATCCGGACCAGGAACATATTTCGTTCGATCATAGTAGATTGAAACGTAGGTTCCGTCACCGCCACATGCTTGTGTAATATCTCCCGGGCAGCTCATCTCACACTTTTTTACAGTGTCGTTGGTATACTTGGTGTAACTGGGTGCTGTGCTTCCACACCAGCACTGTGTATGGTATTCGGTCCCAGCGAAGATATATCCGGCTTTGAAGCATGTAGCTTGACACCATCCATTTTCATTCGTAGCATTATTGAATTGCTTGAGAAGTTGACGCCCGGCTCCATCATAATAGCAACCAAGATAAGAAAACTCGGCTGTGCCATTTGGTAGAAGTGGGCCTAATTGCCTGGTGACAATATTTGCAGAGATGGCAACGTCGTGGACCCCGAAGTTCACATCACTGTATCTTGTCAGTTATAGGATCTATGATCAATTATGATACTCACTCAACGTTCAAAATCCAGACGTCTGAAACAGTGTGATCAGGCCGGTTGACTCCAAGTGGCGCTGCAACAATAGAAACTTGACCCAGAGCACAAGTATTGACGTCAATCTTCTGAGCTTCATGTAGATCTGTGCCATGATTGGGTGCCAAAAGCTCTACATCAATCGGCGGCTTGCTTTTCGTGATCGTCAATGCTGATCCTCCCGAATTGCAAATTCGGATGTTCCGAGAAACTGTACTTCCCGCTACAACATTACCGAAGTCCATATTGACAGGCTCTGAAAAGTCCCAGCCGCCTTCAATGGTAGAGACAGAAATGTTGGCAATAGGAGCTGTCGAGGCTGAGCCGGTCAATAATACATAACCATTTCCTCCTGTGGTCCACCATTGCAGAAACGTGGAGTATGCACCTGTTTGGTTGGCTAAAAATTGGACGGGAATTGATAGACCTTGGCCAGTTGTGAGCGTGTCTCCAACTTTGGGAAGACTTGAAGAACTGAATCCATTTCCTAAATCTCCATTAGTGATATTTTGGAAAACGATAGGGCCATCGTCAGTGTCTACACTACTTGTCCACGCGCTGCCCAAAAAGATTAAAGTCTGGGCTCCGACATTTTGCAGAACGAGTGAAGCTGAAAGGCCTGTTTTGGCGCCGGCAGATCCAACGACAATTCCGCCCAGATCGACCTCAGGGGGGTTAATGGTGAGATAAGCGACTTTGGACACAGTATTTCCGGTAAGTGAAATTGGAAGAATGTTGCTATATTTGGGGACGCCATTTGTGGTGTACAAGTTCAAGTTGGTACTTGCTACTCCGGGTTGAACTTTTCCAAATGAAGCGTTCTGTGCATCGTTGATTGAAGACTGGGTAAGGTTCCAGGTGACGGGGAATTGAAACGTTTGACCTTTACTTAGCTGTCCTTTTGGAAAGGTGGAATTGAGACATTGCCAAGTTGCATCTCCAGTTGCACAACCATTGATCGAGGTAGGAATTAATGCCGTGCAATTGACGATCTGAGTACTAGTAGAACCGATTGGAGTATCTCCAAAATCAACAGGCTGGGAGCACAAAAGAGGTAAAGAAACGGGAGATCCAAGACAGAAGACATGGCCGCTGGTATCTGAAACATAAAGGCGGCTATCTCCGAAAGTAGGGCGTTGGAATTTGTTCAGTCCACCCGTAGCTGTCAGAGGAATCGACTTAAGGATGCCATTGACAGGAACTGCGTTGAAGGCTTGAAGGCCGAGATTGGGATCCGATATCCAGAGAATGCCAGTACCAGCTTCACCTTTGTATGAAGTGACGGTAGGAACACCTAAATCTAATTAGTAAATGACACAACAAGCAGGAAACCCTTTTTACCGATTCCGACCCTGCCAGCCGAGTTTGTTGCCGTCTGCCCAACAAGGGTGAACAATGGCGCCCCTTGGGAATCCAGACCAATCTTGTAACAGACCGTCGGGGAGCCTACAGGGGTAAAGCTTTCACAGGTCAGAATTTATATTGGCACCTTGAAGTTGAAATTGAACTTACTATATGAACCCGCCTTCTAGAGGATATGATCCTACACCTCCAAAGACAGACCCTTGAGCAAGGATGGTCTGGATGATGTTATCGGTTCCTATTTGAGTCAGCTTTATGACCTCCGAAAACGCAAAAATAATAACATGCCTCCGGGGCCTTGTTTGAAGCCGCCAAGATTATTGGCATTCATGATGCTGAGAAACATTAGCGAACATTCCGGTACGTCAGTAGAATCCATACTAAGCTTTGCCGTTCTTTCCCACAGTAATTGCAATTCTTGAGACCCCAGTTCCGCTGAACACCGCCGGATCTAACAACGTAGCCCCTGAGGATCCAAGATCTCTGTCACCTGCGTCCATAGACAGGTATTCATAGGGCTCGAAATAGTCTGTCAGAGAAACTTTGCCGGCGGCTGACACTGTGAAACTGGCCACAACCTCGTCAAGGGTTGATAAGGGTAATCGACCCGATGATGGAACGTCACCATTTGCGTGGCCTTGTCCATTACTTAGGCACCGTTAGCTGATATTCACTGCTCTTCTTCATTCAAGTTTTAAGCAGGTAAAGATAACTTACCCTGTGACAGTAAAGAAACGGTTTCCATCTGTGGCGAAGCCCATTCCCGATTGCCAAATACCCTTTTCAGATGTCAGAGGTGCGTATTACAGGACGTATGGACGTAAGATCTTACCGCTTTGCCTCCCTTCTGTGCGGTAATATCGGTCACGACTGGTGATGCTCCAGGACTAGACTCCATTGCAAAGAGGGTGGTCACACCTGATAAACATGATTAGCTAGGTATTCTTGGCAGTAGAGAAGGGGGGAGCATACCAACTCCAGGGGTGGTGCTAACACCAACTATCATGCCAGTATAATTAAAGAGATCGCAATGGCCTCAAAACCCTCCCAGTACGATACCATTTATTATGGTCAATGACGGACGCTGCAAAACCGTACCGCCAATGAAATATCTAAACATTGTCAGCTTGCGTCAATAGTAATTCACTTGCACTTGCCTCGTATTATCATTATCCGCGAAGTTTCCATCAATGATAACGGGAAAGCCAGGTTTGTCTTGTAGCGTAAGAATGTCCACAGCATAAAGCTTGTAAATTCCTAGATGTCTGTTAAAGAGACCCAGGGAACTCGCCTTTCTGATGCTCACCATTTGCCACGCCACCAGATGAGGCTCCATTCTTGTAGCCTTTGGCGAAAAAGTACGCCGTGTTTACACTGGCGTCGATGATCGGTGTACCCTGTACGCAATTAGTTTACGAATCATGGGATTGCGGTTCAACTTACCGTAATACCAATGTAGTCAGGAATGTCCGTACAGCCGATGTCGCTTTGCAGGAAAGGCGGTTGGACGGTACGAGAATTCAACATGGTCCCGTTGACAGCATCGAGGGTTCGAATGACATTCATAGAGGAAGCCAGGAAAACAAGCTGGGTCCCACCAGGCGGGGTGTACACAAGTGGCTTCGCATACCATTTCTCCTTGGCACCGTAAGTATTTTGCCATAATATTCCGAAGTTTTGAGAGCCAACGATGGTCGGTTGCATGTTATGGTTATCGAGATAGCCTGACTGAGCTGGATCGGCATCTTGAATCTCGTCTGTGGGTGCGAGAGAATGTACGAAGATCGGCCAGAATGCCACGATGAAGAAACATATCGGCCACATGGCGACGAATCTGGGGTTTACAGCGCTGTCTGGAAATAGAAACAAGATGACTAGAAATGGGAGGATTCAAGAGAAAGGACAGAAAAAAGAAGATAGAAGGTTGCAACACAAGTACATGGCGGGAGATTGCAGAAAAGAAATGCTCATGATGCTTTAGCGCGACATCCTTTCTGGGCAGAAAAAGGAATAGATACAAGACACTCCGCCCGCTGTTCGGACCAGAATGAACCGAGCAGAGCAAGTTATTTTCATGAAGAATCTAGATGGATGGTAGGCACTAATCCGAGATAGAAGCTGCAGAATTTCTCGGAGCTGAAATGCCCAACCTTCGGCTTGGTTCAACAATACTTTACATGTATTACCCCAGTTTCTACTGCCTAAGGCACCTTACCTGGGTACTGCATAGCATATCCGTTCAACACAGGTCTCGACGTTTTCTATGAGCAAGCTTCTCAACTCCCTAAGAAAACTTTGACCGTTTCCAGCATGTCTTGTAAGACAAAGCAGGAACAACGCCGTCCACGGACTATAGTAAAGAGCACCAAGAAAGCACTTACCCACGTGGCATTGGCATTGTGAAACGGCAGCTTTGATATTCACATTCACATTCATGTTCGCCTACTCCCTAGAAAAGATATTAGATAGCATAATTTGTAAAGAGGTTAAATATGTTATAGGAGCGGGAGCGTTGATAGCGTGAAAGCAGTGAAGTGAAGTGCCGTCGAAACACGCTAAAATTGAGTTACTCGTAGCCACAGCCGAACATCCAGGGATTATCAAGACACGACGCGTCGCGTTTCCTTCCATCACAGCTTTTCAGCCTTTATAAGGTGATCTTCCTTCTCACTTCTATTCAGTCACATATAGAATATGAAGGATGTAAAGTCAGAATCTGTGTTTTAACGTTGCTATATCTTATGCCATGTTTCCCTTGCCCTTTCCCGCACACCTATCTATATGTTGAATAACACCATGCAACGCCATCTCGCACACTCCTAATCTCAAAAACTCACCCAAACCAAATTCCAGACCGTGTTTCCCAATTAGAGATGAACGACACTAACGTTCAGAACCCCCTTCTCCTCCCTCAATGCTGCCTCAACATCCTTCCCCACCTCCCCCTGCACACTCAAAATCATCAAAGCCTCATTCTCCTCTCCTCCTTCGCTCTCGCCCTCGTCCTCGTCCTCAGCTCCCTTCTCCAGTGCCGCAACATTCATACTCCTAATGTTCACGCCCGCTCTCCCAAGTACATTCCCCACTCCCCCAATCTTTCCAGGACGATCATAGTTGTGTAAAATAAGCAGGGTTCCCTCTGGCACAAACGACGCGCTGAACCGATCAAGTCTCGAGATGAATATAGACTTCCCACTTACATATCCACTGATAATGCCCTCCCCCTGGCCACTCGCCCTTAGCGTAACCAGAGAGGCGTAAACCATATCCCCAGCCGAGCCACCCCGGGTATGGATTTCATTAATCACGATCCCCTTTTGCTTCGCGATCAGATTCGCATTCACGATATTCACGTCCCGGCCACCACTATCCGAAATCGACGACGTAAGACCTTTAACGAGCGCCGCAAACAATGGCCTAGTGTTGGAAATGGTAGCCAACTCGCCTTCATACACCAGATCAAAAGCAGTGCCGACTTTCCCCTGAGAAGTATAATGCTGCGTATAAAGCCCACCCATTTTCTCCACAAGCTTCACGAATGGCTGTAGTTTCTTATACTCCTCTGGCAATATCAACGGCGCATTAACAGCGCTCGTAGGTAGTCCTCCTTCCAATATTGAAAGGACTTGAGCACAGACGTCCATGGACACATTTTCTTGTGCTTCAACGGTACTTGCACCTAGATGCGGTGTAGCGACCACTTTGGGATGCCGGCAGAGTGCTTCAGCTGCTGAGCCCGCAGCGGGAGGTTCGGATGTAAAGACATCAAGGCCTGCACCTGCAATAGTACCGTTTTCAAGAGCTTCGAGCAATGCAGCCTCGTTATACACTCCGCCTCTAGCCACATTCAGAATCTTAGCCGTCTTTTTCATAGTCTCAAGTTCCTTCTTCCCAATCAGATCCAGCGTACTAGCAATAAGCGGCGTATGAATAGTAAGGAAATCCACATTCGGAAGTAAAGAAGGCAGGTCCGAGACAAGGGTAGCAGAAGCTGAGGCTGCGATTTCGGGACTTGCGTAGGGATCGAGAGCCAAAACGGTCATGCCGAGTCCTACACCCATGCGAGCGACTTTCCATCCTACTTTCCCTAGACCGATAATCCCAAGTATCTTGCCGCCAACTTCTGTGCCCACGAGTTGACTGCGTTCCCACCCTCCATTGCGGAGATTTCGGTCTCCAGCTGGCACGTTGCGGGCAACGGACATGAGAAGGGCGATGGTGTGTTCGGCTGCTGCCACAATGTTTCCGCTGGGGCTGTTGACAACAATAATACCGTGTGTGGTAGCTACATCGACATCTACATTGTCGACGCCGACACCAGCTCGAGCGACAACTTTGAGGTTTTTGGCGGCTGCAAGGACGGGGGCTGTGACTTTTGTCTCGGAGCGTATGACGAGGGCGTGGTAGTTGGGGATTATGGAGATGAGCTCTTCAGCGGAGAGGCCTCTGGGTTGGTCAATGTCGAAGTGGGGTACAAGAAGAGCGAGTCCATCGGGAGAGACTTTCTCTGGGATCAGAATCCTGGGACTTGAGGAACTCGAGGAGTTTCCGTTTGTTGGGAGGGCAGAAGGCGCCATGTTTTCCGAGAAGAGGCTGCTCGAATCGGTAATGGTTGTCTAGCGGTGTAGTATGTCGAGGAAGGTTAAGTAGGAAGGTTGAGTGGGTACAGGGTAAGGTAAGGTTGGAAGGAGTAGGTCAATTATGTACCTATGTAGGCAAGAAGCATGGAAAGTAAATTAGAGTAAAGGAAGGTGCGAAAGGAAAGAGAAGGAAGGATGGATGAACTGGCAGAAGAGATCCCACGCCATCCCACGCCATCCCACGCCTGCAATGTCTACCTAGGTACTTTACGATATCTGCATGGAGGTGTAGAGTAGAGTAGAGTAGAGTAGAGTCCACTCCACGTCCATCAATACCTAGCATTCCCCGCCCCCGCATAAGGCTAACGCACCTAACCGCGTGCCGGAACTACCCCGCCATCCAGGAACCAAGGAGTGTCGCTTGGCATGCAAGGCTCGCCCTGTTGTAGATGCACCTGATCACCTGAGAAGGAAAAATAAATGCACCGCTGCGGGTCATTGCTCTATAATACAAGTAGTCATATTTGACAAATGTTGGCCTGACATTCTTAATTAAGGGCTTCCTAAGACTCCTACCAGTTTGCTCTGTCCTTCAACTTCTCATTTTGAATAACTTCAATCCAGTAATTGTCCGGGTCTAGAACAAATGCTACATTCTTCATACGACCGTCTGTGAGTCTCTTCTTCCAGTTCACACCTTGCTCCTCAAAGCGCTGGCACGCACCATCAAGATCATCGACCGAAACGCCTGTATAATTAGCTACATCCACTAAGACTGGAGAGTTATTGCTTACAAATATGACCAAATCCTTGAGGCTCGTCATTACCGTTGTGATACTTAAAATCGGCATCCTTCTCAGTACCGTGGTTCCAAGTCAACTCTAGAAGGCCCTCTCTTCCGGCAGTTGGATTGACACCATTTGCAGACGTGTTTGGAACACCCGTTTCACCGGGGTATGCAAGGAAATAGAGTGTGAATTTCGCATCTTTGTTCTCGTTCGTCCTCATCAAAGTCATCCCCATAACCTCTTGGTAGAACTTCAATGATTTCTCGTTGTCCTTAACCCGAATCATTGTGTGGTTCTATGCCAATCAGTATACATCTAGAAATATGCTGCCACAGCCTTCTTACCATGCGGTATGTCTGCAGGTCTGTAGTCTTGATATCCTCAGTCTTTTCAACCGAATTCTGGCTAATGATCTCTACCCAGTATCCATCGGGATCGAGAGCAAATGCAATGTGATGCATTCGTCCGTCCGTCAACTTCTTCTGGAACTTGTAACCGGCATCCTCAATTCGTTGGCAGGCGGCCTGAATATTGTCGACACTGATACAAGTATGACCAAACCCCCTCGCAGGCTCACTGTTGCCAGTTGCAACTTTATAATCCGGATCATTCTCGGTTCCATAATTATGTGTCAATTCGATCAGACCTTCGCGATCGCTGAAGTGATTGCCATGTGAAAGTGCCTTCGGAGAGTCGTATCCCAAAAAGTAGAGGTCGAATTTGGCTTCCGGTTGTTCAATCTTTCGAATCATCTTCATACCGAGGTGTTCATAGAACTTGACTAGGGGCGAAAGTTAGACAACCCATTATTCTTGAAGTATTCGGGACGTACCTGACTCCTTGGGGTCTTTCACCCGAATCCTAGAGAAAGATCAGTATGACTACCTAGAATAAAACGTGTCATTTGCTGCCGCACATCGAGTGGTTAAGCTTGTAGGTCTTTAAATCCGTAGCCATGGTTGCGAAGGGTCTGCTAGCTATCGAGATGTCAGTACCCCACCGTTGAGAGCATCTATTTAGTCAACAGAGACTCGTACCTGAGTCTACAATGCTGTGTCGAATGAAGGTTGATCTCAAGGTTCTCTGGAAGATGCGGACTGATTGCATAGAAGAGGAAGAGGGTTGAGTAGTGGTAGTTGTCAATCAATGTGTAATGGAGGTGAAGCCCCGCCTTCACTCGCCTACTGTACATATGACGTGGAGGGAGCGTGTAAATAAATCTACAGTACTACAAGGTACAGCCGAGGGGAGAATGATAAAGTAGCAATAGAAACAACCGACCATCCAATACTTGAGAATCGTCTGTCCGAAGGAGAAGTGGACCCAGGTAGCTGATGGATTCCTGCCTGCTATCTTTTTGGGGCATGTTTGAATGCCTCGCAGCTTCTTCTACTTCTTCCTCTTCCTCAGCGCCGAGCGTCCTCGTAGAAAGCATCGCGGCGCTGGGTATTCTAGGCCCAAATAATGACACAAGCGTTCTTTGAGGGTTTTAATATAGAGTAACCTGAGGCTGAGGGGGTAGAATGTCTCTAACAGGATGCAGTAGAGCGTCCAGGCCAAAGCAAGAAGCATTGCACCCATCCACATGCGGGAGAACTGCTCCAGGACCGGGCTTGCTATAGCACCAATAATGTTTGTATAAACTGTGATCTGTGAATAATACAAAAAAGGTGATATTCGGAATGACTGACAGGACTGACAGTCATTCCGAATATCAGAATACTGTATGGCCGTCGCATAATTCTCTACAGTATCGCAAGCAAGGCAAGCCAGCTTTAGACTTTCCTGCCCAAGCTTCCTGCCTCGCCGAGGAATCCGAACAACATTGCAAATTCCTGATCAAGACAAGCTGTAGCAAGACAACTAAAGATTGTGTATTGAGAAAAGATGTTATAGAGGTAGGTACAGTACCTAGGTAGCTGTAGGTCCCGTCCCATCCCCATCACCCTTATCGCTCTAGCTCGCTTGTCATTTCAATCCCGCGATACCTACAGCAATGCCATCCTCAGCTAACTTCCATCATACTGTAGCATCTCCTCCTCCCCAACTCAGTCTCTCAAGTCATGCTGCTCACGAAACCACTCACGACGTTTCTCTCGCAGAATGCATCACCCCAGCTGCCAACGCTCCTCCTCATATCGCCTACGGGAAAGCTCCTCTCCAGCTCCTCCCCCCTCCCAGCCTCGATCCTCAGAACACAGGCCACAGTGGCTTGCACAACGTGGAATCTCTACCACCCCTTCCAAGCAAGCACCAGCAGCCGGGTCAACACTTCACTTCCTCCGGGGCCAACATCCTTGTCCAGCGCAAGCACCTCCGATCTCAGCTCTATAACTATCCAACTCTCACACGGCACAATGGTCATACGCTCCCTCTCTTGCGGACTTCTCTTCGTAGCAATTGGTCCCTCGATCACACCTACCACAGCGCCGAGCTCACACCACCTGTTGTTTTCACCTCATATCGCATCATCACATACCTCGCCTCAAGCTTCGCCCCCTACACATCAATACCTCCATGATGGGCTCGGGGAAAGAGTAGTTTCTGGGGGTAGTTTAACTGTTGGGAGCGGGGCGCCGTCGGAAGCTGGCAGTGTAGGGAGTTCTGTCACTGGAGCGAGGACTCATGCGAGCATATTGGGGATTAAAAGACAAGCGGATGAGGTAGGGAGATGGCTGGAAACGAGTCTAAAGGGCTTTGTGTTGAGTACTGGGGAAGGACGATAATAGCGCATGGGGATCTTCGACGGTGGAAAAGAGCGTACTTGGGCGTGATTTCGGAGTTCAAAATTTGCTAGGTCATGGCGTTTTGAAGGCTTGGGATCATGGGATGAAGTCAAGGAGACTTATAGCATATCCATTTCAACTTAAGCCCCAGGGCTGAATCCAGCTCCCTTGCTGGTTGTACTCCCTACGTACCAGGAGAAAGATAATATTGCATCATGACGCATTATGAAGGCGTCGGGACGATAATTTGGATGGATCGAACTGTATTATATGCAAGGCGTCCTGGAGCTGGTTCCGAGATACCACGATATATTTTACTACAACGACTTTCACACATATTCGCTATCTCATTGGTATTGTCTACGTGGTGCGGCATTTGGCTATTTCGCATTATACTTCAACAGTAGGCAAGTGCCAATTTTCAAAGCTTTCTTGAGTCAGGTGAGCCAAAAGTTCCCGCTTTCTTATTGAATGAAATACGTTAAAGTTTGAACTCCATTCATTTCGGAGTAATTTAGTATATCAACGAGAACGTTCAAAGGGCAGCAAGCTCTTATCACATGACTCAGGAGATGAGTAATTTTCTTTTAGCCAAGAGACTTGATCTATGCAATGCGTACTATTCTCAAACCATTTAATGGTATTCTCCGTATGCAATTGCAGCCGAACGCCAGGGAGCTTTGGGTACCGGTTTACATCTGTACTTACCGGCGGCCACCAGAACTCCGTAAAGCTGATAGCTTCCTAAGTTCCTGCATAGAGCTTCGGATGCTTGGCCGTTCCCAAACCACTAGGCTCCCACTCTACCGGGCCGGGCGTCCACTTTCCCCTTATCTTAGCCATTTTCTATCCGGCTACGGGGCAGCCAGTGTTCTTGGCAGCCCATAAGTGGGGTTTACCACTATGAATATACTTGCAGAACATCTCGCGAGTCGCGCCGCTGATAAGAATTTGATGCTAACATAATAAAGATAACGAGTGTTACTCAATGGAGACTCTTCAGGCAAACGGTCAGATCTATATAAAGGTCCATGTAAGTATTCTTCTCCTCTCATTCGTTGCTACAGTATTCTTTAGATCCAAAGAGCAAGTCGGAACTTACTGTGTAAAGACTGTCAGCTAGGCGAGCTTTATCATTCAAGATGCTTTCCGTGACCACATTACTATGCGCTCTGGCCTCTGTGGGATACGCTGCCCCTGCTGTCTATCCACGAGCAACTGATCCGTTTGTGTTCACAAACTCCAATGGCCTAAATTTCACACAGATGAATGGTAGTCTGCCAAATGTAACTATATTTGCAACTGGTAAGCCTTTTCCGAAACCTAAGCAACCAGGAACTCATTTTTTCAGGTGGGACAATTGCCGGCTCAGGAAGTAGTGACGTCCAAACAACCGGCTACACAGCCGGTGTAGTGGGCATCCTGACCCTTCTCGACGCCGTCCCCGCAGTCCTCAACGTCTCAAATGTCGCCGGCATCCAATCAGCCAATGTACCAAGTGAGGACGTAACTTCCGACCTCCTCATCACAATAGCCAAGCAAATCAAAAAATACGTCTGCGATGACCCCACCATGTCAGGAGCAGTAGTCACTCATGGAACCGATGTCCTCGAAGAAACAGCCTTCTTCCTCGACGCAGTAGTAAACTGCGGCAAACCTGTAGTTATCGTCGGTGCCATGCGTCCCTCGACTGCCATCTCAGCCGACGGGCCCTACAATCTCCTCGAAGCGGTAACCGTAGCCGCCAGCCCTCTTGCGCGGGACCGCGGGGCAATGGTCGTGATGAACGACCGCATCGTCTCGGCGTACTACGTTACTAAACTGAATGCGAATACCATGGACACATTCAAGGCTCCGGAGATGGGAAATCTCGGCACGCTCGTCTCAGACGTCCCGTATTTCTTCTACCCTGCCGTAAAACCGACCGGCAAGAACGAAATCGACATCTCGAACGTCACGTCGATCCCACGCGTAGACATCCTCTTCGCATACGAAGACATGAAAAACGACACCCTCTACAACGCCGTAGCCAGCGGCGCCAAGGGCATTGTGATTGCAGGCGCTGGAGCCGGCGGCGTCAGCACGTCATTCGGGTACGCTGTTGCGGATGTAATTGCGACGTATGGGGTTCCCGTTGTGCTTAGTACGAGGGCGATGAGCGGGGAGGTGCCGAACGTGGAGTTGCCGCAGATTGCGAGTGGGTATTTGAATCCGATGAAGAGTCGGGTTTTGCTGGGCTTGTTGTTGGCGCATGGGAAGAATATTACGGAAATTGGCGAGGCGTTCAAGGGGTCGACTGCTAATTAGATTTGTTGGGCGATTATGAAGTCATGATTAATGTAATAGAGCACTGACTAATTCATATGCTTCTTGTCGGACTGGGCTTGTTTTGTGTTCTTTTTAAAGATGTACTCTAGTTGAATACGTGATAATTTTGTTATGCTAATTTCTATTCGAGTTTCCCTTGATTGCTGAAGACCTCTATTCTACAGTTTCTTTTCTTTTCAAACGTGGATATTGAGCTGTACAGATTATGCTCATACCAGACTAAATGGAGAGCTAGATATGGAAACATGGCTGCTATACAAAAGCGTGTTCAAAAGGCATGTTAGGGACTAGAATCAAACCATTCATAATCCAATAATCTGTTGCAAATTGCTTGATTCCTGGAAGTCCACGCATCCTTGTCATTACCACCTTTAATGTATCTGCAGAAAGATTAGCATAGATATTTCAACCACTTTTTAATCACTTACCGATCCAACGGACGCGGCATGTCTCCTTTTTCCAGCGTAACCGAGCTCCACCAGCCAGTACATGGGAACCCATCATGCTCTTTTTCGTATAAAGGGTAGACATGTACCAATCCCAAATTCAACTTGTTTTGCAAAAACCCCATCACCTTCCACGGATCTTTTTTCCTGCCCAAAAAATCCACCGAGATCAAGTTCAAGCACCTCAGCGTAAAGGCATGGCTGCGAAGAAACCGGAAGAGCGTATCAGAGCGTGTGCGCAATTGGTGCAATACAAGTGTGTGTAGAGAAGGCAGCACGAGATCCTTATGCAGCAGCATTGCTAAATCATCACGCACCAACTGGCCATGTATGTACAAGGGTAGCATCTCTGGTCTACATCGGAAGCCCAGGTACAGACTCTCCAGTCCCTTGGCACAGTTCAGCATCTCAAAAAGCCTGGACGAAAACTCCGGGATCCAGTAAGGCCACGTGTGGAGGTTGAGGTTTAGTGAAGTGAGGTTGGCGAATACGGACTTGGAGGCTAAGGATACAGGTTTGTAGAGCAAGTATATGGCATCTGGAGATATGTCCAACACTTTAATGGGCGCACCACTCCTTTGGATCGCCACCATGATTTCCTCGAAATCTATTTCGTCCGCACCAATTACCCCCGGTGCATGTAAATAGCTATACCTTCCAAACGGCTCCGGATAAGAAGGGTGGTTGCGCCATTCCCGACGAAACGGAGACACGCTATCCGTGAGCGACGAATGAGAAGTCTGAATATATCTCCGCCGAGCGGACCTCGAATACAATATATCGGAACGCTCGAACCGAGAAGTCTCCATGTAGAAACCAGTCAGATTGGGTAGCTTGCTTATCCCATGCGCCAGATTCCGCACCTGGTCCACTGACTTCTGATGCTGCAAGCGGTCGAAGAATTCCTGCGGTCGAAGAATTCCTGCGGCCCCGGATGCTCCCGGCGCCATTTCCCCTCGTCGCGGCGTCTCTGCCAGGGGAACGCAAGCCTCCTGGATGGCGTGGAAGATGTACGCGGGTGCGGGTAATCCATTTCGTTGTTCGGCCACTCGTTGCGGAGGTCCTGTACTGCAAGGTCTGGGAACCAGGTCGTGTCGTAGAGGATCTTCGTGACGTATCGTGCCAGCGATGGGTTATCACAGACGCCGTGGAAGACGACCAGGTCTTCCGCGTGAGGACTGAACCATAGTTCTGGAAATAAGGGGAGGTGGCTCATGCATTCGTGCAACTCGCGAGAGACGAGGCGGAGAGGCTTCCATTGGTTTCTGGTCAGGTGGTCGGTAATCATGATGAGGATTTCCAATGGGATATGCATCTCGCGACGAGGTATATGACGACCAAAGCGTTGCCTGCGCTTCGTTTTGAGACTGAGGAGCACCATGGCTTATAATTTGTAGTTGGTTTTGAGAACGTGAAACTTGCTTCGGGATATGATGAAGGCTTGGGAGGTGCTGAACTCAGGTAGGAGGACGATTGTGATGGGAGATTTCTTTTTTCGAAATATAAACTGTGCCGTGACCTAAGCTATGTTAATTCAAGGGCACTTAATGAAAGCTTGTGACGTTTAGTGACGGGTTTCAAAGAAGCGTAACCACTGATGGAAACTACTTCGAATAGTTGCCGCAAGAGCCCTTTTCGATGTGTGGTACGCTAAAAGTCGCGACTTTACAATAAACTTCGTCTTTCTCTTTCCGTTCCGGAACAATAATATACATGCTGAAGTTACATGTACAGATTTTGCATAGACTGTTTCTCAGTCGTATGTATCCAATATGACCACCCTAGAGCATCAGATACAAGGAAATTTACTAGCGCAATTATGCGTAGCCAGAGACGAAAAGTCTACTCAATATCGTCTCATTTCGCCTTATGCCACCTCGAAAGACTGCTCTCCCCATCCATACACTCTCTTCAGACGACTCGCAAATATAAGAAGCAAGTGGCCTTCGATTTGTGACTTATGTGGCCGATGCAACGTAAGTGATTTCTGTATTGCTAGATCCGATGGAGGACAGAACATGATGACCGATCCAAACTTTGGCATTACAGAAAACTTCAAGTCTGCCATTGCGGTTTCAAAAGCTGCCCATGTAACTGATCCTCGTGATTGCGATTTTGAGAATAATGTTGAGAATGTCTTGACCGTATCTTGCTTCACTTTGAAAACTGGTAGCAGCTCCACCTTTTCTGGCTCAGCAGTCGCTAGATTGGGAGATATGTCGTATGCGGATGAATGTGGTGGGCGAGTTTTGTGTTTCTGTCTACGTTGTTGAACTTGCACTTCTGGGGTTTCCGCAATTGGTGTTGCTTGGGGAAGCTCAGCTTGTGCGTTCTGCGCAGCTGCTCTTGTCTGCAGTTGGTAGTATTCCTGAATATCTGTGACACATTTTTCAATGAGGTCTTGGTAGAGAAAACCCATCTTAGTACCTGTCTTATCAACGACAAATTGATCAAGTGCATTCAAGGCTCCTGCAGCCATACCTGGTTCAGTGAGATTATCGATAGGAATTGCGAAGTCCGCTAAATCGAGCTGGGATTTCAGGGGGTCCAGCTCCGTCGCCAGCTCCTTCAATCTTGAGACGTATAATTGTCCCTTCTTGAGATTCATGGGAGGTATAGCAAGTGACGAAGAAATCGACTGAACAAATCCAACAATCACAGCTAAATCACCAAAGGATTCAAATTCATTTTCATCCATTGCTTCTCGTTCCTTGGGATGAGAGCAATGGAGGTCGTCTAATTGCTTGATCCAGGTAATTGCTTTAGAGGCATCTACTCCAGGTTCACAGAGGCGGAGCATGTAATGAAGCCTTGGGTTTTCTCTTGTGAGCAGTTCTGGCTTGCCCTTGATGGATACACGTGCAACACCACTGTATGTTTCAGACTTGGTCAGTACTGCTTGATAAAATAAGGTTCGGAACAAGTGGGATGTTTCATGATTATGGCACTATCTAGCAATGCCCTCAAGACATGCGTAGAACGTAAAATGCAGAATGATATTTGAAATGGAGAGTAAGTACTTGAAACTCCGGACTTACTTGTCATATACGCCCGAGACGCGCTTGAAATACTTTGATCCTGAGAACGTTTGTACTTGGCGCTTGAAGAGCCTTTGTACCCGTCCATATTCCAGGTGACAGACGTTCGATATTTCCTGGAGAACGACGCCTCTATACCTAGGGTCGTTGGATTCATCAAGGATCCGAAGAAGACGACAGAGGTAGTCCCAAATTGCAGCACCAATAATAGCATTGTGGATCATCTCGAAGAATGCGATGCTAATGTTCTTGTCCGTTACAACAGGTAAAGTTCGTCCCTTCTCGTCTTTGATAAGTTCCGGCCTCGTGAAGAACCAAATATTGACAGCATGTGCCAGAAAGACGGGCTCCTCGCGACATAAGCTCAAATAACCATCCAGAGATGATTTTTGGTCTAAAGCGCTAGCCATTAACTCTTGCAACGAGAGTTTCTCTGGCTTGGGAATGATTGAAAGCTTTGACAGAGCAGCACGGGCAGCTTCCTCGGGCTTCTTCGATGGCTTCTTCGTGTTCCTAGAGGTTGATCCTACTTCGAGAATATCTTCGACTAAGATGTTGAGCATTTGCAAGGTATATAACTGTCTTAGCAGAATTAACTCGCCGGTCGATTGAGGAAGACAAAGTCCAGCGTTAACAACCACAGATAAATCATCCATAGCTATTTCATACTCTGCCTTAGATTTAGTGTTGTAAGACTGCCCGTAGGTTTCTTCGTCCATGAATAAAGTGAAAGAATATTTGAAATCGTCGATATGACGGAGATTGTTGACACGCATATTATGGACTATCACCGCGTGGTCGCCTGGGCCCATGTCTGGTCCTTCAATATATTGCTCAGAGAGTAACTTAGTAGCGCGATGCTTCAAAATATTCAGCAAGTAATCCGATCCAGGCTCCGTGATATCACGCAGGTTGATTTCAGGCATGAACTTGAAGACATTGCCCAGAGATCTATCGCAAGGGTCCTTCAAAACCACACCTTCTGCTGCACCAGCTTTGACTGTTCGAGTTCGTTGGCTTTATCAAGAGACCGCCAAATTTCCTCGATTTTGGCTCCGTGAATTCGATATTTCCTCGCAAGATCTCTCTGCAGCTCTTTTAGGGCTTCCCCGTTCTCCATCGGGTCGTCCATTGTGGATAATTCCGGAGCGGTGGGTATATGTACGTGAAGAAAAGCAGCAAAGGTGAAAAGGGGTACCCAGGAACACAGCTAGGTAGGTATGCGAAACGGAGTCCCAGACTCGGTGCAGCAATTTAGCACCACCACTGAAGAGCTGTAAAGGTGGTTAGTAGACTGACTAGAGAGTGAGGGGCATATAATACCTATAATATAGATAGCTGGCTAGTATTGTGAGAATTTGCAATGTTATTGACATGTACAGTATTTTGGTTGAAGTGACCCTTGTCTCTGGAAGCAGGGAAATGGATGGGGTGGGTTGAGGTGGAGTGGGTGTGGTCAGGTAGAAACCTTGCCCCGCATTGTCGGCGATTTGATGTTCCGTACCAGCGTACTGTACTACTGTAGTAGTCCCTTATTATCAAGCTGAATCTAGACAGCCTATACGCTGTTGTGGTCAAAACCCTCTTTTGGAGATATTGTTAGCTCCTGAGTTTCGTGCTCGCGATGATTCTGATATCTCGGGTCTACATTTTCGGTGCATATTGTGGTGGGGTTTAAGGGGCGTCACGTGAAGTTGAGGTATGCAGCTAAAATACAGGCGCTTGGACAGACTTCTAAACCATCCAATTCTACATACACATTCAATTACATAGATTATTATATATATAATTATTCAACGATGAAACTATAAGTCAGATCCTAGCCTAGAGTTCGGGGTTGTGTTGTCCCTCCACAATATCACTCAATTAGGACGATGGGAAGATTATTGCCTGCCCGCATGTAATTGACTAACTTTAGCGAGATAAAGGGGGCACAGCACAACGAATGTAACGCTCCCCTCTATGTACTGCATATGCCACCAGCAACAATCAAGTCAGGAAAATCCCGAAAATGTTCGAAACGAGGGGAACTAAAAATCATCATTGAATTACTGAATTACAGAATGCGACACTCGTATGGTGCTGCGATTCTATTTGCCAACATTAAAAATCGTAGCCGCATCGGCGTTGCATCTTCTCGCTTTCTCAACTTCCCTTGCCTCACTCCACATCTCCTGGATTGCTCTACCGGCTATTGCGAAATAGCAGCATCTAAAGCACAGCCTTCAAAACCGGGCCAACAGGGTCCAATACACCAGCAAGAATACCGTTCACCTTGGCGACAACGTCCTGAAGCTCGCCAGACACGTCGAGGGCAGCAGTACCAGCAACGGAGAGGGCGAAGGTCAAGATTGGTTGAACGATAGGCGAGAGAATAGTCACTACACCAGCGATCTCAGACTTGACAAGGCACAAAACATCTAAGAGTCATTAGCATAAAGGAATCCCGAGCAGCAGAGATATGCTTACCAGGCACGAGGGTCTGGACAAGGTTAAGGAGGACCGCGACAACGTCGAAGACGATGTGCTCCACATCCGCAAGAACGGTAAGAACGGCCCGGACCTCGTCATATACCAGAGGTGTAGCAATGCCACCGACCAGGGAAAGAACTGGACCTAATGTGGCATTGACAGTGCCGACGACATCAACAAGAACGGTCTTGACGGTAGGGACGACAGCAGTGGTGACATCTGATACGATGCTCGAATCTGGACGCAAAGGGTTAGTTTGTGAAGTAGAACAGTGACATATTCCAACTGACTGATGGTTGTCAAATCCTCTACCACTGAAACCTTGAGGTTGGATACGACGGTAGTCAGGCTCGAAACAACATTCGAATCTCTCGTGACGGGGGTCTTGAGGTTGGAAACCCCGGAAGTCAGACCCGAAACAACATCTCCCGTGGCGGGAACAAGTGGCGCGGAAAGGACCTGAGTTCCAAGGCTAAGAGCCAGAAGAGAGTACATGGAGAACTGCATGATGTCGGAGTTGTAAATTAACGAATGTTTTATTTATTTGGCTGAAAGAATAAATGAGTGTGAATGGTAAAACAAGTATTAATGCGCGAGTACAAAAGAGTGACTGTTGGATGCTGAGAGAAAATACATTCGGGGGAAAACAGATAATATACTCACTGATCTTGTCGATCTTGGCCTGAAATTGTGAGGTCTCAGGCCTCGTAGGTTTTTGGAAATTCAAATAGTTGATCCCCACGAGCCGCCTACCGATCCGACCAGCGGTCCTGCATGGACCCCACATGTCTGTATCACGACGATCCTCATTAAAGACAGTCAACGAGAGCATGGGTTTTAGATAGGGTAAACTGGGAGCAGGTCAAATAATCGAAATATACAATCGCCAATTCAGAGTTCCTAACCTATAAGGAATACCCATATTCTAATAGTAAACGAATTTTGCCTTTCTCTCAAGTCAAATGGATTTGTTGCTACTTTTCAACCTTCGAAATCGGATAACATGCAAACATAATGACTAATCAATGAACTCCTGTTACCGTATTAAGATGTGCTACAAGTAAGTACAACTTTGCTGGGGTATCTCATTTGGACATCGATCGTCACAATATGGCCAGAAAGGTAAACCTCCTTTGTTAATGCAGACTTTCGCCAAGACTTCTGAAGCTCAGCCTGGGACTTGCAGTGGAGAAACACCATAACAAGTAAGGTGCTATTTCTGCTCATTCATATTAGAGATAATGATACGCAGTGAAAAGATGAGAAGCAATCTCAGTGTCTCATACGGAAAAGGGGTATTGGTGTTGAAAATTGAAATAATGCATCGTCATTGCAAAAAAGAGTCTAAAATGCAATCCAAGATTTGTCAAATCTAATCCATCAATCAACGCGTGTTTACTTTTCCATAAACTCCGTGTACGGCGTATAATATGATTGTATCCGGCGACTATAGTATGATGCAATGAAACTCTGAATTATTAATTTTTAAAGTTATACACTACGACCGCTCGACGTTAAAACGCTTCAAAGACCTCTTTTGCCCCACCCAACAACACGACGAATTAAGTTCGCTATGGCTAGTAGAAGTATATCTAATGCCGCATCCCACTAATCCTATTCCGTAAACTTTATCGAAAAGCTGGCGTTCGAACGCCAGGTTCGCATTTGCTTAATTTCATGATAGTTTTCGCCTAGATAGGTAAGGTGCTTAGCTGATCTTCGTATAAAAATAGGGGTAAAGTCAGAATAAGCCTTAGTAAGGTGCTATAGACCCACTATACGTGCTTATATTAGCAAAACAGCTTAAAAGATCACGCCAACAGGATATAAAATGCGCAGCTGGATTAGGCATAATGTTACGCTAATGCAAGTCAGAGGGTGTTAGGATTTAACAGGGCAAAAGAGCTCTAAACTCTTCAGAGGGATGGACATTGCAAAAGGGGCAACACATTTTTAGATAAAGCAGTGCATATGTTGAAGATGTTCTGAAAAAATCCTTTGGGCTTAAGCAGAAGCTTGCCTTGCTGCCCTTGCATAGTGCTTCGTAAATGTGGATTCCGGGATCTTCGGGGATTTTAAAGTTCAAAAATCTGACAAGCATATAAAGAGAACGCGAGAGCAGTAGAGAATAAGTCGCGTCATAAGCATACTGCGGTATAAGCAATTTTCAGTTTTACGCTTAGATATTAGGGTCCCGATGCTTTAAGCAGGGCCAACTCTGACCGAGGTACAGAAGATCAATCGGAAGAGCTAGGTATATCTAACGATATGGAGTGTTGACTGTGGCATACTAGCTTATGATAATACCCGCGGCGTGCAGACTGAGTGCAATGTCTGCTAAGAAAGGGCTATCATGTTCTTGTGACTTCAGATCCAGGACTCGGGAAGCTTTGTAGCATAGATGCCAGAAGCAACCAAAGTAGAAGAAGCATTCTTATAGATGCTCGAACGCTTCAAGATAGGAAATCATTTTGTTTCGTTGTGTCTTTCAGGACAAAGGTTAGGCAAATAATAAATATCCCAAAATTGCCATCTAGACAATATGAAACGATGCATTCTGTGCATCGTATCACAGCACCCTATGGCGTCGCTGGATATCAAAGTACCAACTTACATACAATTTCTTGTGTTGACTACCTCCACTCAATTTTAAAAACCCTAGTCCTCTCATGCAGTCTTCTTCCACGCACTGTGGACTCCAATCAAACTGCTCACGGTTCCAGCCAAACCAACCAATCCATCATCAAAGTTTGCCAATCCAATTGCGGTCGTAGGAACTGTCAGATCACAGAGGTCGGAAAGAAGTTGAAGGTTGAGAGCAGCACGCTCCCTGGAAACAAAGTTAGCAAAGGACCCCGCTCCTAGCGATGGTATCACATACTTCTCAATCCTCTTAGCAGCAACAACACCCTCTCCATCCTCCTTATCAATCTTGGACGTCTGCACTCTCAAATTGTAAAGCGAATACAACCCGCTCACAGTACTGAAAAATAGTCCCACAGCCCAGCACTTATACGCCTCCCTCTGAAACCTCTTCGCAGCCTCAAACTTCCGGATCCCCGCAGCATCAAGAACAGTCACAGCATCAAAACTCAGGTATCCAGCGTATCCCAACTGTCGGCCCACCGCACAGTACTTGATGACTGGATCGAGACTCTTGCTATCGGCAGCAACCGCCGCGGCTTTGAAATGCTCTACAAACTTGCCGAAGCGCAGTAGTTTGCGCGCGAGCCCGAATTGCTTCTTGATGGTCTCGAAGGGCGCGATTTCGCTGGGACTACCATTGGTGCGGAAGAGGTACCAGGCGTAGAATCGCGAGAAGTATTGGAGGGTTCGAAGGAGCTTGTCGCGACCGACAGTCGTGCCGACGAATTTGAGGTAATGTGCAACGGAGGGGTGGTAGACGAGGGAATCGGCAACCATTTTGATGGTTGAATGGGGGGCAAAGTATTCGGAAAAGCGATGTAATAAATAGTACTAGGTATTTGAGGTCGTAGAGAGTGGAAATACTCGGGGCTTGCTGGAGGATATGGGCAAACTTGTTGAAGGCTTGTGATACCGTAAGTAGAGCGAGTATCCGGGGTATGTCATATGCGCGGGGCCGAGGTTGTACGGACGGAGTATTGTGGAAAGCGGTTGGCCCGTGTCGATATATGACTCAGCAGTAATATCAATCAACAGTCAGTCACGTTTTCTCGTGTCAGATTCGCTCATTATTCTCGGAGTCATCATCATCTATGAAATCGTCTCATTCAGAAAGCAATTGCAGACATTGAAGTAGAGGCTTACAACTGGCTAGTACCATACCAAAATGCCTGAAATAGCAGAAGGTCAGTGTCGCATAAAAGGAACTTGAAGGACGAGGACCGTACCGTACCACCGCTGACATGATGTCGAACAGTTGCACGTGTGGTTCATTACCTTCGAAAGAATCTAGTAGGCAAGACTCTCGCCGTCGTGAAAGCCCCAGATGACCCCATTATATTTGGAAAGGTCGGCACCAGTGGACCTAAGTTCGAGAAAGCCATGACAGGCAAGAAAGTCCTAGATGCGAATCAGCAAGGCAAATATTTCTGGTTTGTGGCCCTAGTTCTATGTTTAATTGTCCATTCACTAATACATCAATCAGGCTTATAATGTCATCACCACCTCACCCAGTCTTCCATTTGGGCATGTCAGGTACGTAAATTTATGCCATGGCTGGTCTCTTAGTGTTGACATCTACAGGCTGGATTCACATTCGAGGTGAACCTAACGGACACTATCGGCCCAAGGCAACCAAAGAAGATGAAGAATGGCCTCCAGAATTCTGGAAATTCAAACTGGAGACCGACAGCCAGCCCAAAGTCGAAGCAGCTTTCGCGGATCCTCGAAGATTTGGCCGAATACGTTTGGTCAACTGCGCAGCAGAGGACATCAAAAGTACCACTCCTCTCATTGAAAACGGCCCGGATCCTGTAATCGACAAAGACATTTTCACTGCAGAGTGGTTGGAGGCGAAGATTTTGAGCAAAAGGGTCCCCATAAAGGGCTTCCTGTTGAATCAATCGATGATAAGCGGAATTGGTAACTGGGTTAGGTCAGTATACTTATCACACCTGAATGCAAAGGCCCAGTGGGCTAAACTATCTAGCGACGAGATTTTATACAATGCAAAATTGCACCCGGAGCAATACACCAATACGTTCAGCTCGGAGATGATCAAGCAGCTTCATAAATCCATCCTTTACGTCTGCCAGACTGCCGTAGATCTGCTAGGTGATTCGAGCAAGTTCCCAGATGAGTGGTTATTCAACCATCGTGGGGTAAAGTCGAAGACAAAAGCTGCCATCACTTTGCCAAACGGAGCGAAAATGATTTATCTCACTGTTGCTAGCAGGTCCAGTTGCGTGGTGCCGAGTGTGCAGAAGAAGATCGTTGAATTCCCTGCAGATGTGAAGAAAGAAGATCTCAACGGAGGAGAAGATGCCGAGAGCGAGAAGGAAATCAAGCCTAAGGCAAGAGCGTCGAACAAGAGGAAGGCTGTGGTGGTGGAAGATGAGGAGGTTGTCAAGGCTGAGGAAGAGGAACTTGATAAAGATGAACCCAAAGGGAAGGCCAAGAAGGCCAAATCTACTCCGAAGGCGAAGATCGGCAAAGTGAAGATTAAGAAAGCATCAAGCGAAGATTGACGTCGATACACCCCGGTGCCAAGGACAAAATAATTCTACGAGGACATGTATTATATGAAAGCCTACGACGCCCAGCCAGCGTTCTCTTACAGTGTGAACCGCTAGATGGAATGAGGATGGGATCGGGCACACTACCTGAGCTTCGCAGCAATCCGCTTCTTCTCCTACCCCGCGTGTTGCGGAATAAGAGGCGTGAATGCGAGATCTGAATATAGAACGTAGAAGAAGCGTTAGGAAGTATAAAAATTCAAGAAGAGTGCTAAGTACGAGCCACTTCTCCTATAAAGTCTTCAGAGAAAGCGTTTAATGACCCGCCACACCTTCCTTCATGTAGGCATAATAATACGAGCGTCCATCAGCCAGTCGCTGCATTGAAGAAATCTGTCCACCGTTCACCTATCACCCACTCTCTCCGGTAGGTTGGAATCATCCTGTGCAAACGCACCTCGACTGACCTCTTGGAGATATATTTTAATAAAGGAAGCACTTTTCTTCGACCAAGTTTTCCAACTCCACATCCCCCTGTATCACTCACTGCTTAATCTCAACCTACACATGAAATAAGATAGCACATCTACCTACCTCGATAACACCATTACTAGACTTCTAAGCTCTAGCCAATTCTCGTCTCCACTCCCTCAAACCGAGACCCTAGAAAACAGCTACTAAACTCTTCAACTGCCAAGCAAGGAGAGGTGTTCATGTACAGGAGGTCTCACATTCCTAAGACAGCAGCGGCTTAAATGTAGCATTCCCCACAAGGCAGTCGGCAACCGCTTGGTATTTTACGATCCTAAAGTTTTTATTAAAATTTACTTGGAGGCAACAGTTCATGGCAGGACGTTGGATTATGTTTTGAGATCTAGCTTAGTCATGTGACATATCGCCCCATCAAAACCGACAAAGAGCTAGCAGCTTCCCGGCCCGAGTTCGCGCTATGGTTTCACTCAGTCCGACCGACTTCTAAGCATCTTGATCTTGATATATTGCTTCGCATCACACACCCAGTACCAAGATCTGCAGCATCTTCATGCTAGCCCGGTACGAGAGGTCGACATGCCGATGTCTGTGGAGGATGACTCTCGAAGCCAAAAAGGGCCAGGGCCAGGGCACGGGCTTCTAAAGGATGGCGCCGTGTTGTCCGCCACAGACTTAGATGGATCCCACCAACAGCATCAGTATCAGCACATGAGCTCTAGTCCTGTTACTCACCCAGCTGCCAAAGAAACAAGACATCTCATATCGCCGTCGCCTACGCCATCCGCCAGAAGCTCGTCTTCATCTTCAGTCGTGACCACGGACTCATCGAGTGAGCCGCCGGACACCGTATCATCTGCTCCAAATCTGCGCAGCTATTCCGGCCATTTGGAAAAGAGAGCTCATGATTCTGCTTCTGAAGTAAACGGGGAAGTAAAGTACCCCTCGGCCCTCCCTATCTCAAAACCACTACCTCTTCACGAGCTCCATGATATCCCGGAGGAGAGAGTCAAGAAGCCCCGAAAACTGTCAGCGGCCAGCCCAAACGGAGAGATTTTGAAACTGTCAGCGGCCGAGATGGAAGAGTTGACTTCAGCCCCAGATTCATTACCTGTCACTTCCCCGGTCAAACTGTCTCTCGCAGCTTCTCCGATGTTTGATAAGAGAGGCTCAGTGTCAGAGCCTACTCGCTCTGATGCAGATGACCAGAGGAAGACCGAGCAAGTTTACAGGTCGGCTACTTCTGAACCTTTCAAAATACATACGGAATCAACTGGGGAGCGGCGGCCCAGTAATGAGAGTACGCCGAGCAACCTAGTTGGCAGGCGGCCTGGATTATTGTCGTCCAGGACTATATCAACTCCAGTGACTAGCAGCAATCGTATGCCATCTTACAGCAAAGGTTCGGCAGGTTCGGCTCGTCAACCGTCACCGAGACATAAATCAATTCCTCATGGTGCATGGCTGGAGCCATTAGATATCAATTCGAGTTCAAAGCCATTACCCAAAAATGTAAACGGGTCGGCTGATCGCCAACCTTCGCCAATTCATCCGTCTATTCCTCTTCCGCCTATGTCAATACCCACATATCTACAACTTGAGTTATCATCATCCAGGCCATCGCCTTTGTATATTTATCGATCCGCAACAGGAGATACACCCTACGAATCCTCCAAAATTAAATTTGAGCGTTTATTGAACTTTCTGTTATTACCACCGCAACTGGAGCAAGTACTTTTTTTCGGATCATTGGCGTGTCTTGATGCATGGCTGTATACCTTTACCATCTTGCCACTTAGATTCCTCAAGGCGGCAGCTATCCTGATTCAGTGGTGGGGCGAAGCTCTGTCGAAAGAAGCACATTTTATATTGGGATTCATTTACCACGGGGCTGGAAGATTCTGGCATCGCCAGCGTGATCGAAATGGTAGTTCTGATTCATCCTCTCGGTCTCGAAGTGTTTCAAGGGCACGACGCCCAATAGCTTCAACCACGTCGTCATTGCAGTCTCAACCAGCGAGAACTTCTGAATCAAGTAATGGTCACGGCAGTTACGAGCAGTTCATGTCTGAGCTGGAGCGTAAGTCAAGGCAGGGATGGGGTCGCAAACATCGACGAACGAAATCACAACCCTCATCATTATCTTCAAATCACAAGGCGGACCTTCTTCAGGGTGCCGTGATAATATGTACCTGTATCCTTTTAATGAAACTTGATGCAAGCAGAATGTACCACAATATCAGAGGGCAGTCAGCTATCAAACTCTATGTCATCTACAATGCTCTCGAGGTATGTCAGTCAGTATGTGACCACACTTCTTTTGCTAATAATGGCAGGTATGCGACAAGCTGTTCTCTGCTTTAGGACAGGACATATTCGAATGCCTCTTTTCCAACGAGACATTGGAGCGAGATCCTGATGGTCGAAGCAAGATCCTCAGACCTCTTGGCATGTTCGTGCTGGCGTTGATATATAATGTCATCCACGCAGGTACTTTGTTTACCCAAGTTATTACATTGAACGTTGCAGTCAACTCGTACTCGAACGCCTTGCTGACACTGCTCCTTTCGAACCAATTTGTTGAAGTCAAGTCAACCGTGTTTAAGATGTTTCAAAAAGATAATCTTTTCCAATTGGCGTGCGCGACGTCGTGGAACGATTCCAACTATGGCTAATGTTGGTCATTATAGCTCTAAGAAACATAGTAGAGCTCGGCGGATTGAGCATCGTTGGGAACGAGGCAGATTTAGCCAAGGATACTACTACACCGATCAGGACCAATTCTATCCTACCTAACAGCTTCACTATCCTTCCCAACTGGTCTGGCGAGGTCCTCACCCCATTCCTCCTGGTGCTTGGAAGCGAGATGCTGGTAGACTGGATCAAGCACGCCTATATCAGCAAGTTTAACCGGGTCAAACCCGCTATCTACCAAAAATATCTAGATGTTCTAGCGAAAGACTATTACTCCAATGTAAGTGCGCCCTTAGGCAAGCACAAAGTTTCATACTGACTTGCCAGGCTTTCGTGAATCAGAACCTCATTAAAAGATTGGGTCTCCCAGTTATCCCATTATCATGTCTGTTCATTCGGTCCTCTGTCCAGACCTACCACATGTTCCTCGCCACCCATGTGCCACCACCTATTTCTTCTACTGCTACTGCACTATCGGTTGAGTCTGCCACTGCATCTCCAGCTACCATGGCCGCCCTTGAACACTTCGACAACATTATCCGGAAAGCCCTTGGAAGATCAACGTTCGGGATCCCACATCCGGAATCCTTGAACCAATGGTATCTTCCCAGCGCCGATGACGTAATCGCCGCCTTGACTATGCTCATCTTCTTCCTGGGTGCTTTCCTCGTGCTTCTGGCATGCAAGTTAGTCCTCGGGATGTTACTACTGAAGTTTGCGCGGAACAGATATCAAACTATGAAGAAGCGTGACCATCAGAATTACGACATGGATGGCAAAAGGATTGGCGGGTGGGGAATGGTTGAGTTGGAGGAAGAAAAGCGGCGATACTTTTTTGAGGATGATCCGGAGACGTTAAAGAAGCTGAAAGAGAAAGAGCGGCTTGCTAAGGAAAAAGCTGCCGCGGGGCAGGATTTTTCGAAGATCAGTAGGTATGAGATGTCTGCGAAGAGGATTTGGTAGCTTTTGTATACCCAGATGACTTTGCACATATAGCTTGAAGTCTTTCCAATATGAATAAATCTCAGATCAAGCTTCTGTTTCCTATCCTCCAAATTCATGTTTAGGCTGTCCTCTCGTTCCTGCTGGTGCTTCATATCGGTAAACATGACCACCTTCATCTTCCCCCCCTGCACCTTTGTCTTGTGCAGTAGTAACGAACAGAACATCTAGGTTCTTCCCTCCCCAAGTTGGGCATGTTACTGCTTTTGCTGAAAACAAAACATCTCTAACGTGTATGCCTGAAGGATCATAGACCACTGTTCCTTTGGTGAGTTTTTATGTTAACGAAAGAGAATAGGCTTACAAGACTTACTAACTCGACTAGATCCGTACACTGCCATCCAGATATTCCCGTCCGTGCTATTGCAGTCAGTTCTTGCAGATCTGATCTCCATCTAACTAAAGAAAAGAAGCTCACTCCATAACCAATCCGTCCGGCTCCATATCCGATCCCGCGAAATCCACAAACACCCTCTGGTTTGAGATGGAACCGCTTTCGAGATCAAAATCATACGCCCAGGTCTTTTGGCCGACTGAGTCATTGAAATACACTTTTCCCCCACCACAACAATTAGCGACTACTTGCTGTACATGGAGTTTCATGGAAGTTGCATTGGTGGAAGGAAACTCACTGGTTTTGATGTCTGGACTCCATCCAATTCCATTGCCACAAATCACCCCACTCTCCATCTGATGCAGAGACCCATCCGGATCATACCTCCATAACCGGCCCTTGGGTTCGTAACTTGCGGGGATCTTTCCCGGTCCCATAGCTGCTGCCTGTCTCGTTATTAGTTTCCTTACTTTCCCTGCTTATAAGCAAGAAGGGGAATCAAGAAGATTCGCACGCACCTTTTTGTCAATCTCAGCCACCCAAAACCGGCCTTTGGCATCAATGGCTCCTAAGTAGTCAGTAGTTAGCGAAATGTATGCATCTATCTCCCTAACGTTTGACGAAAGGAAAGCCAAATACCCACCATCATTCAATCTCAACTCTGCCCTCTCGCTCTGCGGGATAATCTCCCTCACAACATCGAGTTTCCCCGTCTCCTCGTCGAGGAAAGCAATCCCCTGGTAATAAGCACAGATATAACTCCCCTTCACCCCTTTCCTGAAGCACATGACCGATACGCTATCTTCCAGAACAAGGGTTTTGGCATCGCCGTCCGGAAGGCTGGGATCGTTGGGGCTGAGATGTAAAATGTGGAGCTCGGAGGGGGTCTTGAGAGGGTCGACCCAGTGCAGGGTGTGCGTGTTGTTGTGCGTGCGGAAGAGAGGCGCTTCGCCAAGGACCATGGGGCCGAGATGGGGGTTTTTGTACCATGGTTTTAGGGGGGGCGTGGTGGGGATTGGGGGAGACATTGGAGATTTGTTTTTCTGCGTGTATTTATGGATGATGGTTTGTTTCTAAGATGTGTGAGATATTTCTCCTCGAGGTAGTGCCTTCAATTTTATTAAACACTGTTTTTATGTTGCATTAGAATTGCGAGCATGTATCTTGGCTGCCGATCTGGTCCCCCACTTTTGAGGTTGAGGAAATTGTACAAAGGCAAACCCAACGTTACACGAGATCATGCAGCATGCTACTAGCTAGTACTTATTGCAAAGGTATATATATATAATCCTCCAATCCTTTCTTTCTCTGTGAGATTGACCATTTTCCGCCTTGTTAAATACTAGAAAACGCGAGTAGAAACCAAACACCATGACTTCCAATGCCGAACCTCAAGGTCCTGGTTCTGGTCCTCAACCCCCATACCCGCTCCATCCTTCAATTCAAGATAAGCTGGACCCAGTCTACGCTGCCTTTTATAACAAGCACCTCATTAACCAACAACAAGTCCACCTCCGCCCCGTCTCTGCCTCCCGCACCTCCGGTGTTCTGATTCCCGGTGCAGGGCCCGAACTCCCTGTTGGAAAAGTTGAGGATATCTCTATCAAGAGGAGAGAAACTGAAGGCCCGGATGTGCTAGTCAGAGCATTTACCCCTGAAGGTGAGAAGCCGGAAAAGGGCTGGCCGTTAATGGTCTACTACCATGGTGGAGGCTGGGTGCTGGGCAATATCAACACCGAGAATGTGGTCTGCACGAATCTATGCAATAGAGCGAAATGCGTCGTCGTCACAGTAGATTATCGGTATTTGAATTTCATTTCCCCGTTGCTCACTCTTACTATTTCAAGCTAATCATGGAGTAGACTGGCTCCAGAAGATCCATACCCAGCCGCTGTCCACGATTCCTGGGAGGCGCTGCTCTGGCTGAACGCCGAGGGTCCCGCACACTTATCTCTTGATCTCTCACGCAGCGCTGTAGGCGGATCCTCAGCCGGCGGCAACCTCGCAGCCATCATGTGCCACAAAGCGCTCTCGGCGCCATCGCTCGTGCCCAAGTTCTCCACGCAGCTGCTCCTCGTGCCCGTCATGGACAATACGGCACTGCCCAGCACAACGCTCTCGTGGAAGGAGAACGAATTCACGCCCGCGCTGCCAGCGGAGAAGATGCTGTGGTATCGCCGCCACTACCTGCCGGATGAGAAGACCTGGGGAGAGCCGGAAGCTAGTCCGCTGCTGTACGGTAATGGTAGTGGGGAGTGGGGACGTTTGCCGAGGGCACTGATTGTGGTGGGTGAGTTGGATGTGTTAAGGTCGGAGGGGGAAGAGTATGCGGCAAAGCTGGAGGAGAATGGCGTCAAGGCGGATTTGAAGATTATGAAAGGTATGCCGCATCCGTTTTTGGCTATGGATGGTGCGTTGCAGCAGGGGAAGGATGCGATCACGTTTATGGTGGAGGCGTTGAAGGATGCTTTTGGTGGGGAGAAGTAATTATGGAGAGAATAATAAGTAGAAGGTGTGAAGGAAACAGTGGAGGAATTTTGACAGAAAGAACTAGATTGACTGGAGTAAATGAACATAAATTAGAGACTTGCTCTAGGGATAATTAGCCATAGATAGGCTGATCAAAATTAGAGAAGAAAGAAGAAAATTAAACTTCCATTCCAGAGATAGAGACAAACTCCTTCAAATGCTGGTCCCTAATCAAAACACCTCACAGAAGCAGGCCCCTAGTAACACCAAATACTCTCCTCGCAGCATCCTGATCTTCAACATCAACAAATTCTTGACCTTCCCGGGTATTGGCTCTCCAACTTCTCCACTCAGATTCAATTGTAGACACCAAGTCCAAAACAGCGGGTCTATCGGCGGGCTCAGGCTTTAGCATATCACCAACGATATTCCTGAGACCCTGGGAATACCCTTTATCGTTCATACGGGAGATTTGCCAGTCGTAAGAGTAGATACGTGGTGGAGGCATGTCCGTCATCATAGTATAGATGACTGCTCCCAAAGACCAGAGTTCACTGGCACGGGTCCAGGATTGGGTGTGGTTGTAGACCTCCTGAGGTATTTGTTAGATATTGCCGCAACGATCCACGGAGAAGATAACTTACAGGAGCCCAATACCACTGCTTGGCAATTGGCGCATCCTCAACTCTCTGCCCCATAGCCACTCTCGCCCCGACACTCCCACAAACTTTGGCCCACTGGAAACCACCCAACTTACACTCGCCATAAAATTCCCCTTTGGTTCCCGTCGGCTTCTTGAACCAGATCTGACCCGGACTGACATCCATAATCAGAACCGCCTGCCAGTCCTCATCATGCTTGACCCATTCTCCCGGAATGCCCTCCGTCTCTTTGACACCGTGATGCAACCACAGTAGAGCGCGCGAAATGGATCGCAGCACATGCCAGCAGAGCGATTCGGGCAGCGAAGGACGGGCTTGGTTTGGAGAGGCGAGTCTGTGCCAGGCAGCTGTGTCTGCGAAGCCCGGTAAGGAGTGAGCGGAGCGCATGAGATAGGCCAGTGAGCCGGCATTCATGTCTTCCCATATGGTGATATCGCCATACTCGCCAGCTTCTGAGGTGCTGCCGTTGAGAGCTGAGGTCTGGACAACGTCGACGAGGGAGATGATGCTGGGGTGGTTGAGGATGCGGGATAGAGAGAGAGTGGCGTGCGGGATGATCACTGAGGCTAGTTTTGTGTTGAAGGTTGGTGGATCGTCGGGGCTTTTGGTGTCCTCGAGGTCCAGCTCTGTGGGATCCAGGGGCGAGTCTTTGGTGTATATCTCTGGAACTTTGGATGCTAAGAAAGTGGCGTTGTCTATAGTACGGAGGACGGGTTTAGATGATGCGATATCTTGTGGTTCATTTGGATTGATAGGGATGTAGCGAGGTTGGATCGACATGTTGAAAAGTCAGGAGAAACTTCAGTGATTGCGGAGAAGTTTCTATCCTGGAGTCTGTCATCTCTGGGACATTAAATATGATCGCAGGCTCGAGGAATGTAGCAATAAACGAAATATGTAAACGTTCTCAAGAACCTCATTTTCTTAAGCGAACACCAGATTTTGGATCTTATAAACAGCTTCCACGTGTTATGCTCTTTCACCAGCGTCATGGGATACTTCCATATGGAGAACTCACTCGAGGATATACTTGGGTCACACAAGATGAGGGGGCCATTACTGTATCACAACAGAGATTGAATTCGAACCGAGAAAATACGGAGGCACTTGCTCTTCCATCATTGTTCTACCCTATAGTTCTATTTTGAGACTTTGGAACTAGAAAAGGCGTAAAGTCCATGTCAACGTTTCACGTGATAGACATCTCAACAACAGTTACAAGACTCCTTTCTAGCTAGCTATTAGTCCGCATCCGTAGAACTCCACAACTTCTCCGTAACATCCAACATATGCCGATGTTCCTCAATCTTAACCCTAATCCTCGCCACACAATCCTTCCCCAACGGCAACCTAATCGTCTCCTCAAGCCCCTCCCCCAATCCCCTCCCCATCACAGCATCAAACACAGCCCTACACCCCTTCTCCACATCATTCGGGGCGCTGGCCCCCACACCCCCCAGCGCAACCGTAGCATCCAGTACCTGCTTGACGACCGTCCCCTCATACTCCCGCGGCAACGCTGCCTCGGGCCTCGCCAGCGCGCGCGAGAAATTCGTGCCGAACCAGCCCGGTTCGACCAGCAGGACGCGGATCCCGAGGGGCTTGACTTCGTGGTACAGGGCTTCGGAGAAGGCTTCGAGCGCGAATTTGGAGGCGGAATACAGGGACCGCGAGGGCTTGGCTTCGAGGCCGGTGGCGCTGCTTATTTGGACGACGGTGCCGGAGTGGCGGACGCGCATCGAGGGCAGGATCAGCCGGGTTAGGGTGAGGGGGCCGAAGAAGTTGGTGGCCATTTGGGCGCGTGCTTCTGCGTCGCTATACATGTAGTGCAGTCGTTAGTTAACCAGCCAATTGTGTTTTATATGACCAGTTGTGGGATATGATGACAGGGGAAGGCAAGGCAAGGGAATCGTATGTATAGTATGTACCTGAAGGTTTCGAAAGCTCCTAGGAGAGCGTAGCCCGCAGCGTTAACTAGGATATCGATTCGTCCCCATACGTTTGTGGCTTTCTCGACCGCTTTAGCTAACTCGGGTTCTGGAGCACAGACGTCTAGGGTATGCCATACGCCGCCCAGGCTCTGGACTTCGGAGACGAGGACGGGGGTTTTGGAGGGGTTGCGGGATGTGGCTATCACTTTGTGGCCGGAGCGTAGGGCGAGGAGTGCAAGGCTAGTGCCGAAGCCGGATGAACAGCCTGTGATGAACCATATTGGTGGAGACGACATTGTGTGTGCTGTAGATAGAGGGTCGAAGACTGTGGAGGGAGTGAGGAGGAATGACAGATGAGGGCAAGTATGGAAGGATTGCTGTTATATAAAGCTGGTAAACTGATGTTAATCACTTGGCTATCTGGTTCGGGAGTGTTTGCTATTGGGTAAAAGTACGAATGAAACAGTAAGTGTAAGCAGGGTGATGGGGTTAAGATATTATATCCGAGTGTAAATCTCAATAACGGACTTAATAAGGTATGCATTTTATAGTTCGAAGCTTGTCCTTGCAAACATTGAGGATCATTGAACAATCACTTCGCCTACCTGAGAGCAACTTTCTCAACAGAAGGCAGTGAAGGGGCGTGCTTGCAAACACATGACTAGCACAAGACATAAATCGACGCAATGAAGAAATAGGATAAGTGAAAGTCCAAAGTGAGTCTGAAGGGCGGAGAAACTATAAAATCCGGATCACTCATTAGATGTACACAATAGTACAAATGTATACGGTAGATCAAAATGAATTCTCATTGTAAAGTTCAACTGGCCAAGAGCAATTGAACCCTGGCGATGAACTGCTAACAGCATCTATTGATACTGAGTAAAAGCGCACGAGCACTTAAAGTTTGTTGACCTCGTCGTTGACAAGATTGTTGACTTCGGGGTCTGCGCCAGCTGGAAGACCTTCCTTGCCTGCAAACTGGTCGACGGCTACAGGAAGTAGGTTAGCGCATGATCTGTTGCGTATCAAGTAGTATGTACACGTATCAAGAATACATTGACCACATCAAGCAGAATGAGAGGAGGGAAGCGTACCAGAGTCTACCAATGTGTCTTCCGTCTTGTCATTGCTGCCATTTTGATTATTCGCGTTGTTATCGCCATCTTTTCCACCCTGTCCCGTAGCATCGTTCTCGAATTCTTTAATGTCGTCTCCGAAACCCATATTGATTGATTTTGTAGTGTGTTGTGATCTAAAGGCAAAGCAAGTCAGTCTCAATATAAGGTTTGATGCCAAGGTCTGGGCACTGCAAGTACTCACTGGGGAAGTTGTAATAGTGGATGATGGATGCTTTGCCAAGAGGAAAGAGGGGAAGGCCAAGACGCTTTATAGAGTAACATATCAAGCTTAAGCAAGGAAGAGCGCAAATATGCACAATGATGTGCTTGTGGTGGTCTTATCTCGATAGCGTGTATCCATATCCATCCAAGTGGCTGCTTGAAATCCGGCGTCAATAATGGCGGGGCATAATAGAAGCATATTGGTTGGATGGCATGGCGGGTGTGATGAAAAGGGGGCAAGAGGCGTTTCACTAGAGAATCGGAGCTAAAGCATTTATCCAAATGCTTGTTGAGCTGAAGCGAAGCCTTGTTTGGACTGCATAAAGAGAGCGGGGTCAATGTGTGCCAGACCCATAAGTGTTATAAGTTCAGAGTCCCCGGAGAAGGATTTCTTGGAATAACCCTGGTCTTAGAAACAGCACCCATGAGGATTCAAGGGAGTAGAAGTTAGAAGTCTACCCTCTCCTCTCCTTTGTGGGCATACAGGCTTCTGCCAAGCTGAGACACTCTATCTCATGAGGTCCTTTGGCTTTGGCTAGAAATGGATGCTGCAACTCGGAAAGTGTTGTTGTCGTCTCATATCTTGGCATTCAGGGTCCAGATGAGATGGATATGGGCTCATACACGTGACCTGGCCGATAGGAGAACCTGATAAGAGAAAGGTGGGGGTAGCAACCAACCCCACATACCATCAACATCTCCCATCAAAATCGACCTTTACCTACCTAGTACCTTACGACTACTCTCTATATTTATACCACAGATACAATAAACAATATCAATATCATGGAGTACAAAATGCAATCTTCCTCTGGCATTACACCCCGCATAATAATCCATGGCGGCGCTGGAAACATCCTCCCCAGCAACCTCCCTCCTGAGAAATACAAGCTGTATCACGACTCTCTGCTCAAGATCCTAGCCACAACTCACCATTTTATGACCTCGCCCTCCTCATTTCCCCTCACAACAGCCTCTTCTACCTCCGCGCTTGATACCGTCACATTCGCCGTTACGCAGCTAGAAAACAACCCTCTCTGTAATTGACCACCCCCATTCCTTTGAAGTTTGTTGCCCGTCCTTGATGTTGAGTTTCCTCGTTGAGACCCCAAAAATTTGTTTGGTTATCTTGGAGTTCATTTCATTGCTCTCTATATACAAGGACGTCTAGGATACGAACGGCGCCGGCGATTTTAAATGTCCCACTCTGCCTAGCACATTATAATCCAGCACTAACTCTTTACATACAGTCAACTCCGGACACGGCGCAGTCTTTACCCGCGATGGAGTCAATGAGCTCGAAGCTTCGGTCATGGTATCAAGGGAGAGTAAGAAGAGGGGCGTGGGCCTGATGGGCTTGCAACATGTCAAGAATCCCATAAAGCTTGCGAGGGAGATGCTACTGCACGGGGAGCAGGATTTAGAGGGCGGGAATGGGGAGCATAGGGGCCCCATGGCTGAAGACCTGTCCCTATCGAGGAGTTTAGGGGCCCAAGGGCATTGTCAATTGCATAAGTATAGTGCAGAGAAGCTGGCCGAGCAGTGGGGATTGGAGATGGTGGATCCGAGTTATTTCTTTGTCCAGGCACGCTGGGATGGTACGTACGTTCGTTGTAATGTTAGAGCGAAAGGTATACGTACTGACTGGATTGATAGAGCATGTCAAAGGAATAGAGAAGGAGAAAATAGGCGGGGTTGCTACCTGGGATGAAAAACACTTCTTCCCACAAGGTACATGTGGTGCTGTTGCCCTTGACAGCGAAGGGGTAGTGGCCGTAGCCACGAGCACTGGGGGAATGACCAATAAAATGACTGGCAGGATAGGGGACACGCCAACGCTCGGAGCTGGGTGAGTAATCGGCTCCATCCCAAAATCCAGCTTCACAATATGCTAATACATTGCTTCAGGTTCTGGGCAGAGGAATGGGAAGATGAATACCCTTCCAAAACCGAGACCCTGCTCCGACAGTCGAAACCAGGCATGATACTCAGCGAGGCCCTGAAAGGATTAATGGCCGATTGTCTGCCGAACCCCATGGCCTATTCGCCAATCCCCGCGGCGGATCTTGACCCCGCATTCCTTGCTAAAGGAGACAAGGTATTCCGAGCAGGCGCCATGTCCGGTACAGGAAACGGCGACTCGTTCCTGCGGATAAACGCTGTACGAACAGCGTCTGCTATAGCTCGATATCGGGGATCCAAGGGCAACGAGAAGACGAGTCTGCAAGATGCTGTTACGGAAGTCACGGGCCCGGGAGGAGAGTTGGTGAAAAGTGCTGGTAATAGGTGGAGGAAGACTGGGGAGGGCGAAGGGGGAATTATTGGTATTGAAATAACGGTTGTCGTTGATGCAAATGGCGAAAAGAAATCGGCTGTTTCGCATATCGTGGATGACTTTAATTGTGGAGGCATGTTCCGCGCAGCTGTTGATAAACATGGGAAGGCTGTCATGAGAGTTTGGAAGCCGAAGCAGCATGAAGGCCTCGAGGCTTATGAGGGTGAAGGTAGAGAGTACGACTTGAGAGATTGGCTAGAAGAGAAGATGTAGACTGAACAACTCAATACCTCTCTCCCAAGCGCACGACATCTTCCAACAAAGATTGAACTTGCTGGTCTAAAGTTTAATATGGTATCTTCAACTAACATAAACATATAACATTAACCCAAAAAACCTAATCAATAACAAACTTCCCCTTCACTCTCTCATCCCCCGTTGGAACCGCACGTCTCCCCACCCCCCTATTCATCCCACCACCATTCCCATCCCCATCCGCCTGATGCCCATAACTACTTGGTTTATTCATCTGAGTTGTGTCCCTTGCTACATTATACATATCCCAGACCCTCTCCACCAGCCCCTCGACCTCCTTCCCCCCATCCGCATCCGCATCCCCATTCCTCCCCTCGACACTCAACCTCCCATCCACCTCCTCAATAAAATCCCTCACCTTCACCATCTCATACTCATCCTTGCGCAGCCGATCCGGCAGCCCCTGTCCCTTCAACAGCGCCAGCAGCCCCGCCGTCGCCGCATTCACAACACCGAGTACGGCGATCGTCACGTTGTAGGAGTGCAGTTTCGAGAGCGGGCCCAGAGAGGCGCCAATGAGGATTTGCAGGCCGAGCGCCGTGTAGTAGAGGCTTTCTACGGCGACGTATTGGCGCGAGCGCCAGCGCGCAAGGCCGAGGACTTGCTTGTAGAGGCCCGTGGCGCTGGCGCGCGCGGCTTCTAGGTCTCCGCCCCTGACCCCGTCGTCGTTGGGGATGGTGACGTTTATGCCGATGGCGGAGCGGAAGATGGTGAGCTTGGAGGGGGGTGGTGGCTCGGATGTCGAGGTGGAGCTGGAGTTCGAGTTGGGGTTGGGGTTGAGGAGAGGGGTTTGCTCGCTGGAGCTGGAGTGAGACATTGGGGGCGCGATGCTGGGGGGGATTATAGAGGGAATAGAGGGGATAGAGGGAAAGAGGGAGTGAAGATAGGAGAGGGGAGATATACTACTTATTACCTTGGCCTTATCGTAGATAGATAGGAATAGGAAAGGTACCTACCTGCTGTACGTCAGCGGGCGCTTCAGGTCAAGGGGCCTCAGATCAAATGCTTGGAAGGATGTCGCTGATCAAGTCCGGGGTTGGTGTTTCGAAGTGTTTTGCTTGTAGCCCCTGACTCGGTAAGGATGACTTGCAAATCAGAAGATGCGATTGCGATGCTACTGTAAGACAGGAGGTGAGGTGCATTGCCACGTGCTAGAGCCTGGAGCCTTTCTGGAAAAGATGGGATGGCCTGATAAGACTTCAGGTAAAGTACTTCATTCTCTCTTTTTTCAGCTCAGCTTACAGAAACATTTACTCATCTTTGCAAGTTCCTATTCGTAAAGCTTTATACTACTGAGTCTGAGTCTGTACCTAGGTATTATTTACTTCGTACTAAGCTAAGCCAACTCTTTGTCCGTGCATTCCAAGTCTGCCAAGGAAATTAAGCCTTTCATCTTACTAGCCAGCCCTTTCATCCCATGTGATTGGTGCACGCCACATACGCCACACAATACACGTCAGTGGCGCCAAATCCGGGGAAGGGTCTGCAGATATAATTTACAAAACCTCCGGAGGACACTCCTTTGTCCTGCCACTATGTATTTGCAATACTCAAGTACAGATACTGCAAATTCACCCATTTACTTCGTTTTGAATCTTTTTATTTCATGACGCCACGTTCACCCATCTACTTCTTTTCGAATCTCTTCATTTCGAATCTCTTCATTTCGAATCTCTTCATTTCATGACACCACGAAACTCAGCACGAATATGAACGATCCAGGACTCCACGAGCCCATTTCTGAGGATTCGAAAGACGTCGAGAACTTACATCGGGACGAGGATGATGAAGAGAAGGAGGATGAAGAGGCATATCTGGAACCAAAGTACGAGATGTCTTCCTTGAAATCATATGAGGAAGAGTTATGATGAGTCGTGCGTACGAGCGTGTGCTTGGATGCAAGTTGGAAGATCTAGAATGCATGCATATCTGATGCAGTGATGTAGCGCGAGGAGAACATTGACTGATCAGTTCTTCTAGTACTTGGTGGCTCGCAAGCACTGCCTTTCCTTTAATAGCAGGGACGTTTGGTCCCATGGCATCGGCCTTTTCCATATGTGCTCTAGTCGTACATTGGAGGGTCTACATCCCCCCCGGACAAGCGGAGGAGCATGGGCTTGAAATTGAAGATCCAAAATGGTACGTCTGACTTTTGGAATATTCGACTTCAAATCTCTTAGATAAGGCACAACAAACTGACGCCAAAGGTAAAGGTTGATTGCAGTAAATGCTGTCCAACTTGTCATTGCTCTAATATCGAATCTCGCACTGCTTTTGAACATGGGGAAGAAGATTCGTTTTGCAGTTGCACAGCCTATCACGATTATAGGATGGTAAGATCCCATTATAAGTACGGAATGCATCACATATTCTGACAACCGGCCAGGTACGTCTCGTCGTTCACATTGATTGGACTCTGCGCCTGCGCCAGCGGCCCTCTCATCATCGAGCCTCGAGAAGATCATGCTTTCACTCAAGCTTACTACTACGCCATATTCGCAGCAGCAATTTATTTCTGGGTAGCGATACTGATGTCTAGCACCTTTTACGGTGCCTACAAGGGCTATTATGAAAAGGAGTTCCAGTTGACCATGAGTCAGCGAACCTTAATGTTGCAAACTATTAGTTTCCTCATCTATCTCCTCGCTGGAGCTGCCGTGTACTCTCACATCGAAGGATGGAAATTCCTCGATGCTGTATACTGGGCAGATTTCACTCTTCTTACCGTCGGGATCGGCGATTATGCGCCAGAAACACATCTCGGCAGGAGTCTCTTATTCCCTTTTGCCATCGGCGGGATCATAATCATCGGTCTAGTTATCGGTTCGATTCGATCACTTGTTTTAGAGCGCGGAAAGGCCAAGATGGGAGCTCGGATGGTTGAGAAGGAACGAGAACGTATGATCAAACGGGTAGAGAAAAAGTCCAGTGGCGTACTTCTCGAGCCCGTGACTGAGGGGAAAGCATCTCGAACTTCTTCCAACATGCCGCTTGAAAACACGGATGGGATGACCGAGCGAGACCGCCGCAAGCATGAATTCCATATGATGCGAAAGATACAACATCAGGCCCACATTCGCCAGTCTTGGACATCCCTTGCCATTTGGGGCAGCGCTACCCTCTTCCTTTGGTTCGTCGGTGCTGCGGTCTTCCAAGCTGCCGAATATGAACAGGACTGGTCATATTTCGGTTCTCTGTACTTTGCGTACACTTCACTGCTTACCATTGGATATGGAGACTTCTACCCTCAATCCAACTCGGGAAAGCCGTTCTTCGTCCTCTGGTCTCTACTCGCCGTCCCATCTCTCACCATTTTAATCAGCAAAATGGGCGACACTATCGTGAAAGAAATTCGAGATTTGACGCTTTGGGTTGCAAATATCACCATCTTGCCAGGAGAAAAAGGAATCCGGGTTACGCTAAAAGAAGGAGCGAAGCAACTCACGCTCGGCCGATTCTTCAACTCTAAAGACAACATCTTTGCCCCGCCTGGCATCCTGGGTGAAGGACGCCGCTCGATATCTTCCGAGGACGGGGATCAGAAAGATGACCCGGAATCGGCCGCTCAAAGAGTTGCGGGCGACAAAGCTAAGAAAGAAGAGAGAAGCGCAGATAACAGGGCTAAGGAAGACGATAAATTACCTGATGCCAAAGTCGATTATCATCTGCTTTTGACCAAGGAGATTGGGAAGGTCTTGAAGCACTTGCATTCCAGCCCGCCCAGGAAATACACTTTTGAGGAGTGGGCTTGGTATTTGAAACTCGTCGGTGAGGATGAAGGATCCACGGGGTCTCATCGAAAACCAACTCTTAGAGCGAAAGGACAGGGTAGAGACCTAGGCACGGGAGTTGGACAGCGAGGCGGAAGGGAAGATGATATGAAAGATGGCAGGATCGAGAAATGGAGTTGGGTTGGGCAGAGGAGTCCATTGATGGGTGGAAAGGAGGAGGCAGAATGGGTGCTTGAGAGGTTGGTGAGGACTTTGGAGTGGGAGTTGGAAGACTGCAGGAGGGACGAGTTGGAAAGCAAGGGCGAGATAGAGGAACAGGAAGAGTCCGTCGACGAGATAAGTGAAGCAGATGCAGGCCCTGCAGAAGGCAGTGCGCCCAAGGTGCTCTCACCAGGAAAGGAAAGTACATGAGTTGATATATTCCAACACGTCACCCATCAATCCCTCGGTTTCATGCTTCATATACCTCCGATTCAGGACTTCCGGCAACATCATGGCTTGATGAGACGAAGTCATACCGAGGGGCAAATTAAAGATCACTCCGACCCGGCTCTCGCTCCGGCTGTTGATGCGAAGCAACCATGAGGGAGGGGAGGGCTAGGAGAGAACGTTCCCGGCCGGGAGAGGAGCTCATCATAAGGAAGTGAAAGTCTCTCGGCCGGCAAGGTCAGTACCTAGAGTTTAGAAAATAATAAGCTAAGCTTCTTTAAGCAGGGCAGGGCAGGGGCGGTTAGTGCCGGCTCGTTACTTCGGAAGGCAGGTGCAGAATAATGCGTACTAGCTATTATTTAGCTCCATATGACGTTCTAGATTTAGATAGGTAGCTGTCTGGATGAAATCAATAATTATTTAGAAGGTAGCAAGAATGAAAGTTGCAAGAAGTAAGCTAGAATAGAGCGCAATGTTGTAATGACGATGCAGATTTACCTCGATCCGGTTTCTTATCGTCGTTATCGTGTTTAAGTTCTGGACCGTACCCCGCATTTCGAGGAGATCGACCGCCTAAACATATAACTGCAGTTATAAGTATGTAGTAGGTACTTGTGTATGAATGATAGAACTTCAAAGCATGCGAAGAGTAGAGAAGAAAACATACATAGGTAGGAAAAGGAAAAGGAAAACCTAAGGTATAGGTAGAGTCCAACTTGTACTACCTACTTATATGTACCTCATACTTGCTTTCACTAGCACGCACGCACCTTATACAGGTGTTGCAGCACACACTGAGACTGAGAAGCAAGAAATACAGCCAAGGTACATATATAAGAGTCTCTAACATCTTCTTCTATCTCTTCAATACAAGCAATGCAATGATTCAGGAAAATGTAAAAGAAAGAAAGAAAGCTCCTAAACCGTAAACCCAGAAGCCCTGATAGATACCTATAGATATATAGCAAAACATATCTCCAAAGATCCCTCCCTCCCTCCCTTCTAACAAGTACCTCACCATCTTGTACATGTACATGTACACAGTACAAGCCCGCCCACCGCGTACCCGCGAACCCCGCTTCCACCTACCTATCCGCCATTCAAAAGAGCGCCCTCCATCCCTCGCTCCCTCTCCCTCACTCATTCACCCAACCCAGCGAGCGAGTGAGCGGGCGGGTACAAGCGACCAACAAGCAGAACAGCCGTCGCTTTTCCCCTCTCCATCCCATCGTCCGAAAGGTAAATCCATCAACCTCTTCCAAACACCATCGTCAACCTCATCGTCGCTGCTATCGTCCCATCCGTGTGCTCTGCTCGCTCTCATCCATACAAAGAGATACATACACACACATGCAAACCACCGTACATGCGCTTCGGTTGATTGGTTACGCTTATCAATTATTCGCCTACCTACCCTTACCTACTCGTACTCCACAGCCCGATTAATCTAACGCTCTTCGGCGGCGAGGGCGTCAACGGAAAGCAGTTTCGCCTTTTTAGTGCGGATCCTTGTGCAAGGACTACTGCAGGTGAGTGTAGTGTAGCTAGTGTAGTGTATTGTCTTTCTTTGCAATTACCATGGCTATTGCCGTAATCTATTCTATTCTATTCTCCGGTCTCGCTTTTTCCCAATACACCACACAATGTCCGTCGAGTTCACGCTTTCTTCAAACTTCAAAAGGATTTCTTGACCACGGCTATATACCGCGGCTCCGTATTACGGCTCCGTTTATCGAGAGCCCTGGCTTGTATCTATCCAATGAGCCGTGCTCCATTTCTATAGCAGATGCAGACCCACCAGGGGAAACAGCGTTTCAATGTTTTCTTATTTCGTTGATATAACTCGGAATGTCTCCCGCGAGTGCAGGGCAGAGTAGATCTAGAGCTCCTTCTTGATTTTTACAGAGCAGAGCTAACAGCTTCTCTTTCGTCTGGCATCTAGCGAACCCAGCTGCTCGACATATCATTCATATACTTTCCCTCCTCTGCCCTACCTCTACCTCTACCTCTACCTCTACCTCCACCTTTACTTGTAACTCCAACAATGTCCACCTCCAACCCCTTCAAGCAAGCCGCCGAAGCCGCGCGCAAGAAAACCTCCGAGGCAGTGGACGCTACAAAACGGCTAGCTGCAGACAGTCCCGTCGGCAAGAACGACCTGCTACACACGCCGTTCATGCGGGGCGCGCTGCCATTCATAAACGGCGGGCTGGCAGGCATGGCAGCAACGACCGTGATCCAGCCGATCGATATGATAAAAGTGCGCTTGCAGCTCGCAGGCGAGGGAGCGAGAACGGGGCCCAAACCATCACCGTTGTCAGTGACGAGAGAGATCATCGCCGCGGGGAAGGTCATGGATCTATATACCGGCCTGTCGGCAGGGTTGTTGCGTCAAGCTGTGTATACGACTGCGCGGCTGGGCTTCTTTGATACGTTCATGAAAGCTTTGACAGTGAGGGCACAGGAGAAGGGAAACAAGATTGGCTTTGCGGAGAGAGCGGGTGCTGGTTTGAGTGCTGGGGGTCTTGCGGCTATGATTGGCAACCCGGCCGACTTGGCGCTCATTCGAATGCAATCTGATGGCTTGAAGCCGGTCGCTGAGAGGAAGCAGTATAGGTCTGTGTTTCATGCCCTGAAAAGCATTGCCAAATCCGAGGGAGTAGGAGCTCTCTGGGCTGGCGCAGCACCTACAGTCGTCCGAGCCATGGCGTTGAATTTCGGACAGTTGGCTTTCTTCTCGGAAGCCAAGCAACAGCTGAAAGATACATCTCTAAGTCCGCGAACGCAAACACTAACTGCGAGTGCCGTTGCTGGATTCTTTGCTAGTTTCTTCAGCTTGCCGTTTGACTTTGTGAAGACGAGGTTGCAGAAGCAACAGAAGGCGGCCGATGGGACACTTCCTTATAAGGGAATGAGCGATTGCTTTAGAAAGGTGGCCAAGGAAGAGGGTTTGTTGAGATTTTATAGAGGGTTTAGTACTTACTATGTGAGGATCGCGCCGCATGCGTAAGTTTTTGCCAAAATGAGACTTGAATAGAATGTTGCTAACAGGCTTGATTTAGGATGGTAACTTTAATCGTTGCAGATTGGCTCGGCTTCATCACAAAGTGAAACAGGCTAGAAATAAGATGGAGTTGCGCAATATAGTAGTGGCATACCCTACATAAGACTCGGGAGGGAATTTGCTAGTTTTCGGTCATTCCTTGTTTGCTTTTTGGATATTAGTCTCATTTTTGCCCATAAATAAATCATAAGCCAATGACACAAGATGTATCTCAATTGGAGGCCGAATTCTTCAATAGGTGGTCTCACTCGAGGATGTGATATAATTGGACTTGACTACCCATATATTGGAGTAGATTCCAAAATGAAGAACTTGCTTCGGATCAATGCCGCTTCCACACCGCCAGCGCCAGGACTCCACGCTATGCATCAAAATATTCGTTCCAGCATCTCAGGCAATACTGGTTTTTCCATAGGCCCCTCCAGCAGCCTTTCTCATCTCCAAAGCACGCTTGTACGGAGGGGCAGTCGGAGGTTGCACGGGATCGAGTGTAATTCGATCTTTTGGCAGATGATAAGAGGCATCTGCATCGAATCCTGAAAGATCTCCGCAGGCCAAAAACGGGGCTATCCATCTCCCATCTTTCCATGCATCTGCTTCTTCTTCGGGCAAGTGGAGCTCAACAATGCCATCTTCTCCTATGATGATAGGCTTTGCTGGTGCCGTAGACCACGTTCCCTTGGTTGGGTCTTGAAGTGTTGTAAAAGCAACAATTGGATGCTGTGCGGCTTTCGTGGCTACCATCTTTTCCAACCTGTTTCCAATGCCCATTGGCTCCTCGAGACTAGCCTTGAACCCCTCGGGCGGTTGGAAGTTCAGGCAAACAATGAATGCCTCCACACTACTAGCCCGACTTGATCGCGGTTTCGCGACTACTACTTGTTCGAAGAAGATACTCAATTGAGAATATAGTAAATCCACATTGCGTCCCCTGAATATCTTGGCCACAAACTTGCCACCGGGGCGTAATACGCACAATGTGAGGTTTAAAGCAGCGAACAGGAGCTGCGACTGTACATAGATATCAAGATCATGGAGACCAGTGACATCTGGAGCTCCGTCTGATAACACCAAGTCCACAGGATGTGAAGTATGTTGAGATTTCGATGAAGGATCATATGTAGGATCGAGCGCATGTAGTAAAAGCGGAACCGTGGCTGGATGTGTAATATCTGCCTTCAAAGTAATGATACCCGGCAGTGGGCTCATCGGTTGGAGATCGATGGCCACGATTTTGACATCTTTCCGTGGGGCCAACCGGTCCTCTACCGTCAGCTTTTCCTCTGTTATATCTTCCTCTTTGATCGCAGCTCCAAAGATTCCCCGTAACAGCTGCCATGACTTCGCCTGTTCGTCTTCCCAAGCTCTGCGACCGAACTTTTCGCCCTTGATCAGAACTCGAGATAGGACTTGGCTCCAGCTTCCGGGAGCTGCGCAGAGATCAACAACGCGAGTAACGTCTTTGAAGAGGTCGAATTCTAGATGTGTCGTTTAGCGATGGTCAATTGGAGTCTTCTCTCTTGGAGGGGTCGGTATACCTTCGTCCAACTGAAGGAGCTTGAATGCGCTGCGAGCTCGCCATCCTTGCTCCTTTGCAAGCCTGTAGTAAGCATCGCGCTTATCTTTTGAAGACTTTCCCATGTTGCCTCGGATGCTATTGCATTTGTGCTGAGAATCTCTCGTAATTGTGAATTCACAAGGCTGAAAAGGATTTCCCTAGCGCGGGGCTGGAAGACGCTAAAATGGTCCCTCCAGAAAAAAGTTCGGTGAACATCATTTCATTGAAACCAGCCATACAGCAACTCCCCAGACTAGAAAAACATCTTCTCCGCTGAACCATAATGGCTTCCGATTCGAAGAAGCGGGCAAGGCCTATCCCAAAGTCAAGCCAAAAATCCAAGAGACAAAAAGTCGAGCCTGCGAAAAATAAAACCGTGGAAAAAAGGCCAGTAGCATTGGATGCATTGCCATGGAACGAGGTCAAATTACCCGATATGTTTGACGATGCGGAAGGATTCTTTGGCCTTGAGGAAGTAGAGGGTGTGGAGGTGGTCAAAGAGGGGAACCAGTTGAAATTTGTAAGTATTGATTGAAATTTTCGACCTCTACTAGCTTACACATGCTATCAGGTATCTGCAACTGTCCAAACTCCCGAGAACGAAGACGAAGAATGGGAGGGTTTCGGAGAAGACGTAGTAGAAACTGCGCCTGTGGAAGCATCATCGAATGTAGATTTGAAGTCAAAGGCAGAAAAGAAGGAGAATAAATCCAAGGCCAAGAAGGATAAAAAAGAGGAGTCCAAGAAAGAAGCGCCCAAAGCAGAGACCAAGGCAGAACTTGAGACGAATATTTTCAAGGCACTAGAAGAAGATGCAGAAGATGGCATAGACGTTTCTGCATGGGAAGATCTCGACCTTTCTTCTCACACCCTAGGTGCTCTATCAAAACTTGGGTTTGCGAAACCCACTCCCATCCAGTCAGCCGCTATACCGGAAATCCTTGCAGGTCATGACGTTGTTGGAAAGGCATCAACTGGTTCTGGAAAGACATTAGCTTTCGGACTACCAATATTGGAAAGCTGGCTCGAGACATACGGAGAGTTAGAGGATGAAGACCTGAAAACTGCACGGCCTCCTACTGCTCTGATTCTTTCCCCCACCCGCGAACTGGCACATCAGTTGACGGAACATCTCAGAGCTCTTTGCAAGGGTCTATCGAACGCTCCGTTTGTAGCTGCTGTCACTGGCGGTCTATCCGTCCAGAAACAACAACGGCAGCTAGCGAAAGCAGACATTGTGATCGGTACACCTGGACGCCTATGGGAGGTGATGAGCTCGAGTATAGAGCTGTCAGCATCTTTCAAGCAAATCAAGTTTTTGGTGGTGGATGAAGCAGATAGACTTCTAACAGAAGGCCATTTTAAGGAAGCAGAAGAGATTCTCAGCGCTTTGGACAGGCAGCAAAATGCGGAGGAAGGTGATGAGGAGAATATCCCTCCTCGACAGACTTTGGTGTTTTCAGCTACGTTTGCAAAGGGTCTCCAGCAGAAATTGGCTGGGAAGGGAAAGCAGGGTCTTATGGATGATGCAGAGTCGATGGAGTATCTTCTAAAGAAGCTCAATTTCCGAGAAGACAAGCCCAAGTTTGTTGATGTCAACCCCATCTCCCAGATGGCTGATGGGCTGAAAGAAGGCATGGTTGAATGTGCCGGCACCGAAAAGGTAAGAAGCTCTCCAACTCTGCATCCCATCCCTCACTAACAAGCCCCCAGGATCTCTACCTCTATTCCCTCCTCCTCTACCACCCAAACCAACGCACCCTAATCTTCACCAACTCAATCCACTCGGTTCGCCGCCTCGTTCCCCTCCTTCAAAACCTCAACCTGCACGTCCACGCCCTGCACTCCCAAATGATCCAAAAAGCCCGCATGCGCTCCATCGAGCGCTTCTCCTCGCCCAAAGCCACGTCCTCCATCCTCGTCGCCACCGACGTCGCAGCCCGCGGTCTGGACATCGGCGGCGTGCAACTGGTAATCCACTACCACCTACCCCGTACCGCAGACATGTACGTGCACCGGTCTGGGCGCACGGCGCGAGCCGACGCATCCGGATCAAGCATATTGCTGTGTGCGCCCGAGGAAATCGTAGGGACGCGTCGCCTGGTTGCGAAAGTGCATGCGCAGAATGCGGTCCAGGGCGGCGGGAATAAGAAGCAGTATTACATGCGCTCGCTGGATCTGGATCGCAAGGTTGTAGGGCGCCTGAAGCCCAGGGTTACGCTGGCGAAGAAGATCGCGGATAGTGCGCTGGCCAAGGAGAGAAAGGGGCATGATGATGAGTGGGTCCGGAATGCGGCCGAGGAGCTGGGTGTGGATTATGATAGTGAGGAGTTTGAGGCTGCGGGTGGGGCGAGGAAGGGGAGGGGGACGGGGAGGAAGTTGAAGGAGAAGGAGGCGAGGGCGTTGACGAAGAATGAGTTGGGGGCTTTGAAAGGGGAGTTGAGGGGTTTGTTAACACAGAGGGTCAATGTTGGTGTCAGTGAGCGGTATCTAACCGCAGGGACTGTTGATATCAATGAGCTGTTAAAGGGAGCCAAGGGCGATTTCTTAGGAAAGGTCGAAGGAATCGGTATGGAGGATTCATAGTTCCATACTTCATACTTGGACTACAAAATATAACCACGTCTTTCGAAGACCAGACATCCAATTTCATTGGCAGAAATTCGACAAGTATAATCACTCAAGTGAGCCCATAAGTTTGCATCTTCCATAATAAAATCCACCCAACCGCACGTAGTTAGTTTCCTCACAACGCTACATCTAATGCGCCTGCTTCGCTTTACGCTGTACCTTTATCGATGGGGATGGGTGGGCGAGGTGGAAACATGCGCCGCCAGCCAGGAGAAGAGGCTTTGATAATTTAGAGAGTGTTCTTGAAGTTGAAATCTACATATATATATATATGACTAAGAGGCAGTCAAGTTAGTCTACGGAGTACAGGGTCTGATTCGGAATAACAATAACAGTCTATCCATCTTTACTCATGAGGGGAATGAGTGCATGGCCCATGCATGGCACGCCCGTTGTAGTCTTGTGAGGATAGGAAGCAGCATAGTCTAAAGCTACCTAGGCAAGGTCTACTGTACTGTTACAGGTCGATTTATGTATATTCATTAATATGACTGTGTACTAGGTAATTATGCTGCAAGTCAAGAAGAAATCATTAAGATAATTGGTCAAGGGCACGTTCTTTTATTCATATCATGTTTAGTTTAGTCACAAGTCAACTTCTGGTTAAATACTGTATGTACTGCAACAAAAGATTTTCATTAGGTTCATACAACTCGAAAGGTAAAGAAGACTATCTCAGTGAGGCCTGCCTCATCTAACTATTATCGCGCAAATGAGATGAGCAAAAGGTATCCTCCTCGAGTATCAAGATCCGCTCGAGTCCTGTTTTAACCTCTTCCCTTCCCCCTTTGCCTCCCTCCCTCTCCGTGGATTAACCCCATTCAAAACCTAGCTCGTCGACCTCTGAGGAATCCCAGGTTTGGGTGGCGGGGCTGTCGAGCCTTGACCGTTGCGTTGGTAGTCGAGTTGCCTGACGAAGCTCCGCTGCCACACGTTCCAAAGCCTGCTTGACATCCGTCGCCGCAGTGTTCGGTTGTGTCGCCGCAGAAATTCCACTTGGAGCAACAGGCTCCGAACTGGGTTTGGCCGGCGCAGGTGCTAGACGCGCCGCACTCGCCGTGCGACGACACGGTGAGGGATCCGCTGGTTCCTGTTCCGGACGATGCGGGTGCTGAAGCGGTAGCGGTGGCTGAGCCTGCTGCTGCTCCTCCTGCTGCTGCTGAGGACACAGGGAGGGTTGAGAATCCTGAGCTTGCGGCTACGGAAGATGCAATGGGGGCGGCTACGGCTGCTGAGGAAGCTGTTGAGCCACCACTAGCAGCTGGAGATGCTGAAGGAGCCGATGACCCGCTAGCAGCTGGGGCAGATGCCGAAGTACCGCTCCCTGAGCTGGATCCCGATGATGGTCCACCGATGCCGTTGACTGCCACGCAAGTCCCAGAGATGGTGCCAGTGGCACCTGCTGTTCCGGTGAGATCTGGACCTGGGTCTGGGAAGGCCAAGTCTGTACCCTCGACCGAGTGGCAGCCGTTGGGGTCGACGTTGGCGACGAAGAGGCCGGGGCGTGAAGAAAAGGCCGTGTCGCGCTCGGAGATGGTGCGTTTCGCGGAAGCTGCACCAATGGTGACGGATGCACAGTTCATGTATATCTCGCGGTTGCCGACCTTGTTGTACCAAGTCCATGCGAACAAGGCAGATCCAGTCTTTGCGTCTGAAGGGATGGTGAAGTCGAAGTTTTGACCAGACGACGTCGGACAGTTCCCGATGTACGAATGGATGACGGTGAAGGTTTTACCTACGTCGTACGATAAAGCCGCTTGACAACTACCGCCACTGTGTGTTGCTCCTCCGACGACTGTGAAGTTGGCTTTGGCACCTGGGGCCCAGGTAACGACCGATGCTCCTTCCCCGGTGGTATCAGACATGGCTGTCTGATAACCTTTGCAAGGGAACTGAGCAACCCCAGATAGTGGGGCAGTCATAGAATAATCAGCATTCTTAGCGTGACTATTAAACTTGGACTTTAGTGGAGGCGGGAAAGACATTTCCATGTGGGCCATGGCGGTTGTTGATCCGAGAGCCAGAGCGGCGAGGATTGTTGTGTACTGCATGTTGATTTGGAGTTTCAGGCCTGCTGAATGTATGTGTGCTTTGTGTTTGTGTGTTTGTAGATGTGTTTGATGTTGGTATTGCAGAGGTGTTGAAGTTGTATGTGGGAATGAATCAGGGAGAGCTCGATGATTAAACTTATAGAATATCTAAAAGATGTGTTCTGTACAAGGAAGACAATGGAACAATAGAGATGGCTGTTATTGTGCGAACAATAGAAGTAAACAGGCTCGGATCAACGAGAATACAAAGAATGAATATGCAACGAACAATGGGAGTGTTCAGCAATGCAAGAATTCACTTGGAGGGAAGTTTCAATACTTAAGTCTTTCAAACAGCCTCAGAGTCCAAGACCAATCATTAAATAGAATGCACGTAAAGAGGAAGGAGGTCTTAGGAAGTTTCATAGAAACAAGCTATGCTTGCTCTGACCACTGCTGGAGATATACCAGGTAACAACAGTCATCGACGCAACACCAAACAAAAAGGTCCGTAGTGAGCCAGGACTTGCTGGACTGATACAAGAGGCTGACTCTTCTTGAACCGTGCATAAGTGCCGAATCTACAAAGACATTCCAGCCACTCAACCGTGTCAAGGACCTGCAGATAATGTAGACGGATTATACATCTGAAAGAGCATTAAGATGGATACTCGAAACATGGAATTATCCAAGTGATTGATAGAAGGTTCTTGCATAAGATAGGTGAGAAACAAGTAGTCAGTCGCAGCCTTCCGAGCCAATCATGCCACTTGAAACGCAGGTCTTTGAAGCGAGCGACCTCTAAGCGCGACGCGCCTGGTCCAACCAACTCAAGCAAGCAAGTTGCCATGACTGCTACCTAGCGAAGAAGCGGCTGGAATCATCCGCAGAACTGCTTGTTCGCTCGCATATCTCAGATGCGTGCATCATGCGTTATGTTGTTATGTGATTGTAAAGGAGGAGTTGAGGTTGAGGTTGAGCTCAGGTGAGGTTCGTTTAAGGCAGGGGCGGGTCTCGCTAATCATTCAGCATGTTGGCGCTGAATCTCAGGGGTTGTGTTGTGTTGTGTTGTGTTGTCATTATTGCCTTCAACATACCTATGTGATTCATGATAGGGAGAATGACAGATGGAACGATTAAAAAGTAATACTATGATGATATTTTTATTAATACTCTATTTCAGATGTGGTGGTCCAAGCATGTATGTATTTCTGGCGTAAGATGGAAAGGATAGATAGATATAATTAGTGTGAGATTAATTGATTGACTTGCTGGGTTTATTTATTAGACGTTTATTATATCCTCATATACTTGCAGCTACTAAAAGAACAGCCCGTCTTCTCCCACCAGTCATACCTATGGCAGGAATCCTTCGTTGGAGAATGAGACGGACAGACAGACAGACAGATACCAATATGCGGGAAGGGCAAGTACAACTACGCAGAATCCCATGGACAGGGTACTTGGGAGCATCTCGTCACACCTCAATTTCCGACTCTCGGGAGACTGGTGGTTGACTGGGAGGGGGGGGTGAAGCATGTGCATGCATGAGGTGAAGCAGCGAAGAAGTGAGGCGAAAAGAAAGGTTGTTGTCAAGACATGAAGTGTACCTAGGTAGGTAATGTAATGTGGAAGGACTTGAAGAACCAAACAGAATATAGCAGTGAAGTATGTATGGTACTCACTCAACACGTGCCATGTTCATGTTGGACGCCCGAGCCCGAGCCTAGATTTCATGTGCCCCTGTGGATCTTTGCCAGCACTCGCGTGGGAAACTGCCAGCCACAGAACACAAAGCAACAGCGCACACTCAAACGCCCGAGGGGAATTGATGGGATGGATGGATGGATGGATGGATGGATGGATGGATGGATGGATGGAATAATAGAATAATAGAATAACAATAATAGGTAGAGGTCTGTGAAAACCAAGAAATACAAATAAATAGAGAAAGTGTACCTACCTACTGGTAGGTACGGAAGGAAGTTGGTGGGGCCAGATACTCGGTATGTCGTCACCGCTTTAGAGTGCCACATGAAGGAGAGAATCAAATATGTGATGACGAGACTGCACCTGGCAGAATATTGCAATTATTGGAATCAAATGATGAATAATAATAAATATGAATATTAATTACTTAATCAAGTAATTAAATATTTAAGTAATAAATATAAATAACAAGTACCGATTTAATCCAAATATAAAGAAATGAGTAATTATGATGACTCAGGACGGAAGGCTGTCAAACGACACATGATCTTACCCGTGACCTTTACCCATAAAGTCAACAAACCCACTCAGATCTTCAACTCCTTCACGATTACTGTATTTGTCAGCTGGGAATAAGATCTTCAAGGACATCACCAGTGATTGCGCTTGCTCGCCACCGCTCCTTCTCCTCCTCCTCCTCCTCCTTTTCCCCTCCTCTCCACTCTCACCTCCTATCTGGTTGCCTTGCCTCACGCCAATCCAAATCCTTCACCTCACCTTCACCTTCACCTCCATCATGACTTCAAATCCCTCTTCACAAACAGGTCAGCAGAGTTAGTCTTGCCTCACCGCCATCTTTATCTATCTATAACCCATTCTCATGCATGCCACAAGGTTGCAACGCATAATAAATGGCAGACTGTGGGGTCATCTGCTCGGTAGAACTAGACTGACTTGATGCGTTGGCAGTTGCAATCGGACGTGATCCGTCCTCACGCGAACATGGACTCCAGCCTCAGCAGGCCAGGGTCTGTCGATATTTCAGCAGAACAGGTATTTTATTATTTATTCATTTATTTATTGAAATCCCCCTGCATTTTTCTGATTCGTTGCACTGCCGGCCTATTTGCATATGCACCAAGTGTTGTGCAGCATACCCGGTGGATCCCGTGATTTATAGTACTATCACCGGCGTGGGGGACTGCACTACACTGTTGATCAGCTTCACATTGATGGGATGACTCGAGATGTGCCTCCAACCATGGAGACATGCTGTCCTACCCACAGCTGCCCCAGAGTTACACCACGTGATGTAGTGGAGCAGCACAAGAAGCCTCGAGGACAGGGCCGTCCTACCAGATCCAGTGCTGACTGAACTGATAGGACATTGTCGAGCAGGCAATGATTGCCACTTTCTGCATGATGAGTCACGACTTCCTGGAGTACAGGTCAGTATCGGGGAATCAATGTGGGGAGATGCTCCGGAAGCAGCGGGTTCTGGGGAGCTTGCAGACAATGGAACAGTCCAAGACCGTCGACAAGCTGTTACTCAGCCTGCCGCTTCTCGTGTTGTCGCCAAGCCAGTTCCACAAGCACAGATTCAAGATCCAAGAGAATTTCAGCTCGGTCAGATCAGAAGGAGATACTCGCCCAAGGAGTCGAGACAGTCAGACGGCTCAACCCTACTGAGAATTAGTCTTACTCCGTCAGACCCGGACTTTCCATTTGAAATGACCGCTCTGGACTGTAGTTTTATTGTACCTCTTGCATATCCAAAGATCAGACCATCATTGAAGGTTGGTAACAAAGACATCCCGAGAGGATTCGCCTTGAATGTCGAAGCAGGGTTTGATGGCCTCGTTCAGGAGAAGCCCGATGCTACTCTACTCGAGTTGGCAAAGAGCCTGGACAGAAACCTAGAGGCATTCCTGTCTGCTCCAAAGGCAGACACGGTAAAGTTGATGCCTAATAAAGATACTCGCCACCTCTCAGCCTTGCCAGCGCGGTCAGTGCAGCCAGCCGAGGTTCCACCACAGGGTCAAGATACGCCACAGGCTGTACAATCGGAGATCAAGTCTACATATCCTGTGAAACCTGTGGAGAACTTTACTGTCCAGCAGAAAGCAGAAGCAGCTAAGCGCAGAGAGACAGAGACTAGACAGCTTGAAGCGCGAATGGGAAGACTACCCCTTTATAAGAAGTCAGGTGATGGCATTGCGTACACACTACCCATTGAGCCTCGAAAACGGGCTGAGCTTCCCGTTGCTCTACAGGCTGTCAAATCAGTTAAGTTGTTTGTTCCTTTGCTGTATCCATTGCAGTCTTGTCGGGTTCAACTTGAAGGTGTTGATCGAAGCGAGCAAACGGCAGTGGAAAAGGGGTTTGAGAGAAAGGCTGCTCAGGGGATAGACAACACTACGCTAATGGGTCACATGAACTTCTTAGCACAGAATATTCAGGTACTTGCCAAGACAGTTCTTGAGCCTGAGAAAAAGTCAGTACCTGTAATAGTCCAGCCACAAGAACCTGCCGCCAGTGCTGCGGAAGGAAAATGGGTTGAAGGCCATCAAGATGCAGAACGAAGTCACATCCAATACATCACTCGACCTCCTGAGTGGACCATTATCAACAAGTATGGGGACTCTGAAGATGATTCTGAAGATGACTATTCCTACGATTCAGGTGACGAATTTACAGAAGATGAAGAAAGTGTTGTCGAAATCAAGACAAGCGGACAACAATCATCCCCACCACCAGCACAAAACCAAGAAAAAGGAACAGCATTGTCTTTTCCCTTTATTGAGCTCTACGGTATTGAACTCCTCGAGGTAGTAGTTTTGAACCTCTCTATCAAATGCGAGAGATGCAAAGACGTGATGGAAATCAAAGGTCTCCGCGATGGCGTCACAAAGCACGAAAGCTGCAAGAAGTGCGCTACTCTCCTCGGCGTAGGTTTCCGACGAGATCTAATACACGCCAACGCCGTCCGAGCCGGCTTTTTAGACCTCGAGGGTTGTGTTCCAGTTGACATGCTCCTTAGGTAACTTTCCTCGCTACCCCTTTCTAACCCCACTAACTCCATCTACCAGCACATTCATACCAACCTGCTCCCAATGCTCCACTGCCTACCCAGCACCAGGAATCGTCTCTGTACGCGGCGATACTACGAGCAATATCTGCCGAGAATGCCACCAGAAGTTCAGCTTCAAGATCCCGCAAACGAAATTCCTGCGCATCTCCTCGGAACACGTACCTCGCTCCGCAGGACCGCGGAGGAAGAAAGAAACCCTGGGCCTCACGCCCGGCACGGAGCTGCCGAAACGCGGTCGCTGTCGCCATTACACCAAGAGCTATCGCTGGTTCCGATTCAGCTGTTGCCAGAAGGTGTACGCGTGCGATAAATGCCACGACGCGGCCGAGGAGCACCCGAACGAGTGGGCGAACCGCATGATCTGCGGCTGGTGTAGTCGCGAGGGCAATTATCGACCGGAGGACTGTGGGGTTTGCCATGGGGTGCTTGTTGGGAAGAGAGGGGGAGGGGG